TGGACAGCCATCAGTAGAACAACGTCTGAAAATCACTTTGGCTTCTCTTAGTGGTCATAGAAGAATAGAAGAATACTAGATATATTTCCATAGCTGAAGTCCAACAATAATGGCTCTCTTTACAACCACCAAGAATCAATATTGAAGTTGAAGAATAGGGAATTGAGGAAAATGAACTTTTGAATGAAAATTTTTGAAAACTTTTGAGAGAGTAGGTTTGCACAAATTGGTGGCCCAAGAGTGATGATTACCATCCATAAGAAAATTGACATGCAAAGAAAAAAGTTCAAGAGAATCTACATCATGATAGTATAATTAAATAAAAGAATTGTAAACTTTTCAAAACTATGTTGTAGAGTTAGAAAGTCTACAAATTAAAAAGGTCTTTTGAAGTAAAATTAAACTTAAGATTGTTAATCTAAATTTTATCCAAAATAGAATATTAATAGAGATTTTGTTGCTAAGAAGATATTAAATTAGCAATATTAAGATGAATTCCAAAAAAAAAAACTTTTCTATATAACACAAAATAAGAGAATCCAAGATTGATAGAAATGGAATTTTTGAATTAAAAGACTTGACTTATCAAGTAAAAAATCAATACTATAAAGATCTTAGAAATAAGATCTAAGATAAACATAAATAATATTAATGACTAAAGCAAGATATATTCTATTTATAAAATTGGTTGGCTATTGGATCAAAAATTTCTAAGTATAATCTTTATACATAAGAAGATATCAATTTTAGTAGAATGATACTCTAAATTAAATTCAAAATACTATAGAAAATTTTATCTAACTTAGATAACCTTTATATTCTTAAAGTTTTTGTTCAAGGTAATTATATATTCTACAATATAAAATCTTATTAATATTTGATCTAAATCCTAAACTTCAATTAGTCTTATCTTATTTCACCAATTTTGATCCTATTATTGTTTGCCAATTAATATAGTAATGCTTAATTTTGGTTAATAAAGATACCATGGTACAAGTAGAATGTTTTAACTAAAAGTATAACTTCACTTTTTATAAAACATATCAACTCCTTGAAATAAAATATGTTTATTTAGACAAAAGATTAGCTCTCTACCTATTGTTTTTAGACAAGAAGTAGGAAAGTAAGCAAATTGAACCATGTGGATAAGAATTTGTTGCATAGAATGTATTTGTGATAATGAATTGAGAGGTTTTTTTGACAAAATCCTCTCTTTACATCAAAAAGATTCTAACTAAGTTTAGATTCAAATGAATCTCAAATGCTCTGTCCACATGTCCGCTGGTCAAGTTGATAAGTCTATGCCATGTTGAAATAAAGCCTTAAGTGAAGAAATAGAATGGCTTTCTCTTTATTTGTTGTTATTGTTGTTATTTTCAAGATGCTCTTATCTAAAGCTAGAAAAGACAATCTTAGAATGTGCTCCTACTATCTAATAATCAAAACAAATTCATACATATACACATACACACACACCTACATAGCATAATGTTGTTCCTTGAAGCCTCCACCAATATCCTTCACTCTCTCTAAGTTTGCATCTTCCTTCTTCTTCTTCTCGCAATCTAATGTGTTTTAAGAATCATCTTATATAGAAGAAAATTTAATTGTAGGCTTTTCCATTAGTCTTCAAGTTCTTGTTCTATTCTATTATATGTGTGTATGTGTTTGTGTGTATTTGCATCCATATTTGATTCTTAGGTTGCAACAGTTCTGTAGAGTGGCTTAAGTTTCCTATTTGCTTTGCTTTCTCTTTTGGCTCTTCCCTACTGTTGTATCTTTGTCATTGTAGCATCTTATCAATCTACCTCTTGTTACATTTACAATAGGGAGATGGAATATTTCTCTAAGTTAGGAAAATTGTATCCTTTGAATGTAGCATTGGGTGTTGTTGACGAGATTGCTGTAAAGTGTTGTAGGTTTTGATTGTCTTTGAAACAATTGAGGTGTTGTTATTTTAACAACCTTTATCTAGCATGTAGTTGGCAAAGCTTGAATCATTTTTGAAATAGAGAAGAAGACAATGATGAATGATTTCTATTAGTTGCAAAAGTTCTATGATTTGAGGTTTGTGAAGGCAAAAGGGTGGTTAGTGATGGCCACAATCTTTGGTAAGTTTTAGTTCTTTGTGGCAAATTAGTACAATTCTATTTGGTTTGTGGATTTTTGGTGTAATTGATGGTCTTCCTAGTATGGTTTGTAAAAGTTTCATATACCATTCTACTATAAAGAATTCCTATTGATTCCATTTTATGAAGAATTTGTGCCTAAAATTGAAGATTTCAAATTTGGGTCTTCGATTTAGAATCAAAGGTCTCAATCTATTTGTGTGGATTTTCTTTCCATTGCTCGAATTAGAACATTGATGTCATAACATTGGTTGATTTTTCAAGACTCTTGTATTTGAGGAATTCAAATCTTAAGTTTGAACTTCTTATATTTTTTCAACTTTTAGATTGTATTGGATTTTTTGGATTACTATCTTTTAGATAAATTTCCTATTTTTTACAACTTATTTAGCCATCAAGATTGTGGTATTTAGTTAAATACATGCACACATGTCGATGCTTGTATACTAATTAGAACTTTGAAGAAATAAGCATGTTATTGTGTAATAACATAACTATATGATGAAAAATAAAAATATACATGTTATTATAAAAGAGCATAATAAAAAGATATAGTAAAAAACAAAGATAAATGATAGGAGGGTAATAAAAAGTTTAGTCTTAATATTGTCTTTTGTAGAAGGAACTTCTATTTATTTTGTAAGGGCATAAATGCTTCAAATCAAAGTAAATGAGATAAGTAAACAATATAGACATACTAAAAAGAGAATTAACAATAGATTTGAGCAAAAATTACTTCAAATTACTAAAAATTGATACTTGAAGAGGACCAATTGAGACTTGGATCAAAATGAGATCCCAAGAGACAAAATGGTGTATCTATAGCAATTCTATAGTTCTTTTATCAATCAAAGAGTGAAATTAGGGAGCAAACTTATGAAGATATTTTTAAAAGTTGGTTTATTTCATTTGAATTAATATTGAGGATTTGAGTGATTTTCAAAGTTAGTGATATGCTTGGTGGATATAGATTTTGAGAATAAAAATAAGTTTATAAATTTAAAGATTTTATGAATTTTGTAGCATATTTAAAAGTAAACATTTGGTAGTTTGTCATTGTGCTTGTTGTAAATGTGTGTGACAAATTTGAGGTCAATCGAGTAGTTAGATTGAAGCGTATGAGAGTTTTTGTGGATTATGGTCTTAAATAATTAAAATTTAAAGTAGGTGAGGGATTTTACAATCTAACAAAATCTACCAGTTTGATTAAAGTAAAAATTTGTGAAAGCAATTTAGACTTAGATATCTTCATACAACTCAATATTTGGAGCAATTGAACAGTGAGCAAAGAAAAACTTTGTTGAAAAATCAACATTCAAGTTGGAAAAAGAAAGTAGTTAGGAACTGAGAGGTTTTGGAGAGCTTTTCTTACAATTAGTGAGTCTAATTCTTCTCAAATTTTGTGTCCTTGATAATCACTTGTTGATTGAAGTTTAGATGAAATTTTAGTCAAGATCAATAATTCAATTAATATTTATTGAGGTTTCAAATAGCTATAGTAATTAATTAAGATTTACTTAGGATATTTTTGGAGCTTGATTAGGATTTGGCTTGGACTTAGAGTTTAGGATTTTATTAGGATTTGATTAGAATTTTAGAATGCAATAGGCACAAGCTTGTGGTAATGAGCCAGAGTCATCTTTTTGAGGACATAGAAAAAGTTTGGTTCCTCCATATTTTCAGACATCGATATTTGCTTGCAAGAATTGTGTATCAATTTAGGTTTGATAACTTGTAGCTTGTAAATTTGAGGTCACCTTTTTGAGACTCTGAAAATCAGCAAGTGCTAAGTTTATATTGATCTTCTACGCCATAATTTGCAAGGTTGGAGTGTTCTGGAAGCTTGTGGTACAGACCATTTCTATACGAGTTTGAGGCTCTAAGAATCGCACCCAAACATCTCATTGTCTGAGGAATTGTTTTGAGGTGGCTCATTACATAGTGTACACTTCATTGATTATGTTTTCAGTATTAATCAATCTGGAGTTGGGTGATCATGCTTCTTTGGGGCTATAGTTTCTGTAAATTTGATTCCACCTTCTTGAGATAGAATTTTTTGCTTCATTTGAGTGCGACTGTTCAGCGTAATCTTGAAGCTTCTGAACTTAGTTTCCAGCTTGATCAATAGTAGCGACGCAATTCTAAGTATTCTTTGTTGAAGGTGTCGTTACTTCATTTAGCAATGGAGAAGAGGAAAGCTCAGATTCCTCGTGTGCCACGGATACTCTCGTCCTATTGTGGATCTTTCGTACAGCCCCATCACTCCAGATGGCTTTTTTTTGGCTAGCGCCAGCAAGGGTATGTGCAATTGTTTTCTGTTGCATGTACATAATAATATGATGTGTTCAAATGGACGATAGTTATTACTGCACTTACATTGTGACCCGCAAGTTGTTATCACCATATGCAGAGTGTCTGACATAATCTTTAGCCGTGGACCTATATTTTGTTGAAAGTAAACAGGTTTTTGGATGAATTCTAAGTTATCTATTTATTTGGGGCATGTCGTGTGTAGATGGAAAGCCAATGCTCCGGAATGCTGAGACAGGCGATTGGATTGGAACTTTTGATGGCCACAAAGGAGCTGTATGGGCAGCATGCCTCGACACTCCAACGTTGCGTTGTGCCACTACATCTGCTGATTTAGCGCGAAAGTATTCTGTCTTGTGAATGACTATTTCATGCACTTATTTTCATTGCAAACGTGCGATTGCTATTAGAAATTGTAGAAGAGGATGTATGAAGTTTCTATTGAAGAGGAAACAAGTAGTGTGATATTTTCTTAAGACGAAGTTGGAATCTAGAGGATCATTTTGTACATGCTCTAACCTACAACAATTCGAGATTTCGTATCGATTGCATTTATTATGTGAAATTTGAGATATGCTACAACCCTAATCATGAGAAGACGCAAGTTGACAATGTCTGAAGTTGGGTTATGGGCTGCAGGAGGGTGTGGGATGCTCTAACAGAAGACGAACTTCACTCATTTGAGCACAAGCACGTAGTTCGAACATGTGCATTTTCTGAGGTCTTTCTTCTGCCTTGCATTCAGCTTTATTGCTTTAATGATCCTGCTCTGCATTTCTCGATTGTGTCTACGAGCATCCGGTGAGAAAATAGCGTTTGCTCAGACCTGATGTACTAGTGTTAATTTAGACGAAGTATTTTGGAGTTTGAGATCTATAGACTTCAACTAATTATCCTTTCAATTAATAGCATGTTTCGATATTTTCACATTTACATGTCACATTTGGGTATTTGTGATTTAATAACATAGTTGTCTCATGAATATCAAGGGCAACAATATCTTTTCTGTGTGGATGTTCTCAATTCCAACGGGGGTTTGATGGCTCGGTTTCAGAGCACAACTCACTTGCTAACAGGTGGTGCGGAAAAAGTGCTGCAAATTTTTGATCTGTTCAGGCCAGATGCACCTCCAACGCTGTTGGAAAGTTTTCCAAAGACTCCAATATGGGTAGCTGTCTGGAATCATACTGACCAGACCATTTTGAACTCGTCAGACAACGTTGAAGGTGTCAGGTATGGCACATTACTACTATCGCCCATGAAACGCATATGTGTATATATATATATATATATATATATATAAGAGTGAAAACGTCAACACAGTAGATGTTAAATCTACAAGGGCCTGATGTTTCGTCTATGAATAATCAGAGTTTGGGATGTGGGGACCAAGTTTGTAGTGCGGACTTTGGAAACAAAATCTTCTTGCACCAGCGTGGAGGTTAGCAGGGACGGTCGTTACATCACCACAGCTGATGGCAACACCGTGAAATTTTGGGATGCCAATCAATAAGTTCTTGTCTTGCATGCTTCATAATATGTTATAACATATTTCCATTGTTGTTTGAAGACGTTTTGCTATTGTTGCCGCTGATGCTGAACACATGCTTATAGATTACGTTACTATTTTGGTGGCATGATATAGGTGGTGTCTTGGATACTATCTCACTTGCACTTTTGTTCACATCTTATAAAAACAAGTTGCTCTCTCTTACTATGTATTTTTTGCAGCTTTGGATTGGTAAAGAGCTACACAATGCGTAGACCAGTGGAATCAGCCTCATTGTTTCCCGCTTGGAGCAAGTTCATAGTTGGCGGTAATGACATGTGGGTTCGCCTCTTCGATTTTGATACTGGAGATGAAATTGGTAAATGCTCTGAATCTGTTTCTGAAAACATTTGTTGCTCTTCGGTTCTTGGGCATAATTATTTACTTATCAGAGCTAGTAGATGGAATTTGACGAACATGTTCTTACACTTCTATATAGTTTTCGAATGACAGTGCTGTTTTCAATCTACTTTGAAATGTCTAGTGTATAAGGTCATAGTCTGACGTTACTCAAATAGCTATTGGTTATTGCATGCGTGTAAGGTTCATAAGATGCTTTTCATATCTTATGTTGTGTTGACTAATGCATGTGTTGATCGTTAATGCAGAATGCAACAAAGGACACCACAGCCTTGTGCATTGTGTCCGTTTCTCTCCAGGGAGCGAGTCATGCCTTTGGCTCCGAAGGTGGTCCATCCGTATCTTGAAGATTGTAAATGGGAATGACGAGGCCAAGGTGGGTGGCTATGCCGAAGGTGCAGGAGCAAATCAGATCAAGGTCCGAGTAGTTGAGGTTTCAAGGAAGGTGCAAGGCTTTCACATAGCTCAAGAAGATGGCGCACAAGTTTGATACCCCTCTTCTGTTTTCATCTCTCCTGATCCTCTGTTATAGTTGAGCTTCATAACTGGGATTAGAAGGGTGTCGCTTTTTAGACGCCAGCTGTCTTTTGGAAACTGTGGAGTATATTGTATGTGTAGGGTGATTCAGGAGACTCCCTACTTGTCCTGTTCGCCCCTTTGGCATGTGTTTGCCCCATTTTAGGGTTGGCAGTCTAGAGACAGACTGCTTGCATGTAGCTGCTACATACAGAAACGGTGACATGATTGTGGATGTCTTATAGTTGATCAAACCATGGAATACAGAAGATTCTGTTGGCCTTAAAAATTGTGTCTGTTGGCTTGTCCTGTCATATGATAGGGTGTATTTAATGGTAAAGGTCGGTCAGTAACTTTGAAGTAAAAGGCGCAACTGATTCTGCTTCACTTCACCTTGTGTTTTAGATTGGTGGATGAATATAGAGGGATTTTGCTGTATAGGGTTTCAATTTATTCAAAAAAATTGAACCTTGTTATGGTATAGTTAATGGAAGCTTAAATGTCAAATGTGAGGCTTTTGATGGCAAGACTCTTGGTAGCCAGTAGATATGAATCAGGTGGTTTAAGACCATTAATTATTTTTAGTATCATGTATCATTTTGAGGCAAAAAATTGAATGTCATTTTATTAACATGAGTTTAGAATATAAGATAAAATTAACATAATCTTAGCTCTTTTCATTCATAATGTTGCATCATTTTTTAACAATAATGTGAGAATAAGTAGGAATTTTTGATAATATGTAGCTCTTATGGCATCTTGGTGAAGGTATGAAAAAACAAACCTTGTATTTACAAAACTTCATAATAGCATAAAACATCATAGTTAAAAGTGATGGCAAAAAGTCAAAGATGACATAACATTGTAGCAATTTGGTATACAAATATTATGTAATATTTTTAAAAAGTTGTAAAACAAAATATTATAGATATATATTAAAGACTTCAAGGTTTTTTTTAATTTAGAAAAAAAATCATAAATAAATATATATATATATATATATTTTTATTTATTTATTTATTTATTTATGATTTTTTTCTAAATTATATATATATACTTCAAAATTATTTCTTAAAAATCATCAAGTACCAAAATTATATTGTAAAGCATTCTTGTATTACAACTTATCTATTAATGCCTTTATTATAAATCTACATCACCTTATTTTTATATATAATCAAGAAAGTTATTTCTTTAAAGTATAACATTTTACTATGTTTTATCTTGTCCACTTTCAACATGTATTTAAGTCACAAGCCTATCTTAGATGAGAATATTTTTTTTATCTTGTCTATGTTTTTTTAATAAAATTGAGATATTTAGCAAGTAGATAATTAATCATATTTTAATTGAATAATTTGTAACTAACTATTAATATTATTTTATTTTTTGATAAAATTATGTAAATATTAATTCTAAATATATTTATATGTAAATTTTTTAAATATAATAGATAAATAAATACTAAAGAAATTTTAACTAATTTTCTAAATACCTTGTATGATTCTTTCTACTAACTTTTTTGAAATTTAGCATGTGTGTATATGAATACATATATATATATATATATATATATACATACATATTTTAATATTTTTTTGTTTTTCCTTTGATTTTTACATAATCTCTAGAAGTTTTAAAAACATTCTTAAGACTCCTTCAATATTTATATAACATCCTATAGTAACTAGTCTCTATTAAATAAATTAGGAATAAAAAGTATAAATATAAAATAAAATAAAATAAAGTAATGAAACCTTGCTTATTTAAACTTTGGAACAATTCAAATTTTATATTTTTTAACCTTATTAATAATCAAATCTCATATTATTTTTATATACCTTTTTATGTCCATTTTCTACTCATATCTACTCACATTAAAAACCATCCAATTCAAATGATTACAAATTTTATATGATCAAAAATTTCTGACGTTTTTTAATATTACTAGCTTTGATCTTTTTCTAAATTTTCTAGACTATAATAGTTTATCTTCTCTTTATATTCATCTCAAATATTGTATTACTTAGATAATAACAAAAATAATAATATATCCTTTCATTTAAATTAATAAATTGGTACAGTACTAAAATATGAATAAAACCTGGTTTTAATATTGTTAACATAAATCAATCTATTATTCACTATTTTATAATATATTTTCTACAATACTTAGAAAAAGATATTTAATTCTTCTTAAAAAGCTTGTTTCATTATAACGAAAATTATTGTATTAAGATTTTTTGAAGAAATATAAATTTTGGTTTATTAATAAGATTTTTCAAAAACCATCCAATAAATAATGGTAAACACTATATGTAACATTGTGGAAAAGAAAACTCACACCAACCACACGGTTATAACTCCTTCAAGCATTCTAACACTAGAGAAATTTCATTAAAGACTTAATGCATTCATGCACCACATAAACCTCATTGGCAGTTTTCAAAATAAAACTTGTTTGTGGTGATAATTTATATTTTGTTTGTTTTATTCAGTTTAATCACTAAAATCTCAGTGTTAATGCGAAGGTGGGGTAATGCAAAAGTGTTGTGAGACCATCTGCTACAGAACTCTTTCCTGAATCAAAGCCAAGTAATCAACTATCACATTAAGCAGCTTAAGCATAACATACAGCGGAGAATCAAGAGTCAGACCATCGAAGTGGAGTTACATGGCATACTTATTACATAAAACTAAAGGGTCTCTACTGCGTAAGTCCAGCACTGCATTGTGTCTTGTACGCTTTTAGTACACATAATTTCACAGTCCCAATAAGTTTATATAGTTAGCGTCGACTCCATCGAAACCTGTAGTGAGGGACATCGAGAACATCCTGCAATCTCTAAGGACGGTGAAGGACGATCTTGTTTATGTGAACCTGAAAATGACTTTACCAGGAGCGCACAAACAGGTGCACGTACATGATGACGGGACATTCTTGCTTGAAGTTCACGAAGAGCTGCACAAGAAGGAATCGTTCGTTGCAGCTATCACTCCAGAGGTTGAAGTAAAACACAACGACCATCAGGATCTCTGTTGGTAACCGGAATCGCTGAAACCGTTGGTCGTGGGACTGGGCCAGACCGGTATCGCAAGCTTTGAGAACAAGCTATATACATAGCCAATTCCTTCTCGTCTAGGCCAGTGACCTACTTCACATCCAACCTGATAAAAATATGATAACAATTCTCATTTTATTTTCTCACATCATGCACCTAATTGTGAAATAGCAAACGAGTTTTGAACGTAACAATAATCGAATACACAAACTTATTTCTGTTTGAATTCAACGAAAATGTCTACAACATATAATTTAACATGACTTCTAAAAATACCATCTTAAATGTAATACGTTATGAATAACTGGAGGAGAGATTTATTGTCGTGGTTTTAAAAGTTTTTCTCAAACAACGATCAAAGTACCAACCTTTTCTTTGAAAGATATTTCAATTCCACTGCAGCAGAATGCTACAAAAAACGGCTGTCGTTGAAGAAGTACTCGCCGTCTCCAGAAGAAGCAGCTCTCACCCTGCCTACATTACTGTCCAGTACTTAATGTTTTGTAAAGCAAAGAAACATGATTCTATAGCATAGAGACATCCACCGAACTCTTAGAGGTGGTGGGTAAAAAACAAAGTGTACCAGATTATTGTACGAGGAAGATTTGAACACCACAAGAGAATGAGTTAATCAACATCCCCAACCCTCCAGAGGTAATGGAGGGCCGATTATCCTCTCATGTTCTATTGACATTTTCATCTTCAACGAAAACTTTTGCTGCTTTTGATAAAAGCAACATACTTCAGAAAATCCACTTCATCTCTTAAAGATTGATTTTAGTCAGATATTAGTACGAGTGATCCACGACAGCGGATCGACTTTCATTGTTGCCCATACTCTCCGCGCATGAGACTCACAGTTCGTAGATATTTAACAGCAAAAGGCTACAGCATGAAGATTGCTAGTTCTCATTCACTTCAACCACCTGCCAAAGATATGTTGATATCTGCTCTCCGGTTGTCCCCCAAAAAGGACACATGTGGTGCAATGCCCCAGCCTTCAACAGGTTGGAATACGCCAATAGCTTGTGGTCTTTGTTCAGATGTCTGACCACTTGGAGATGGCGCCTGAGGCCCTTCTCGAGGTCCAGCACCTGCGCCGTTAAGGTTCAGTGAAGTTAATACTAAATTTAGAACATGACTGTACTGGATCAAATTCATATTTTATTTCTATATGGAAACGTCCTGGTAGCCCTGGAATGAGGAAAACAAAGGTCAACAATAATCACCCCATACCCTGATTGAAACTGTAAGATATGGTCCAGAGTCTTGCATCGACGTTAAGCTTACAGAAGACCATTTGTTATTACTAAAACTTAGAAACTTCCTCGGGTAATAATTCCTTGCCTATCCTTCAATATCCAATTACTACGAAGGCTCTCCGGATGTGGACAGTCGAGTCTCAGTTTCAATATCTGATAACCGTTCAGTAGACATTTATGTTGCCTTAAATGGTTTCAATAACTCGTAACTACGCGTTGGGAAACGTGGACTTGCTGAACTCAAGTGAACAGCACCCAGAGAGTGCTCGTTGGTAAATGCTCATTCTTTCACTTACTTCCCACCTTCAGTTTATTCTACTGTTCCTATACATCGGCTGTAGTTAAAATGTTGCCGTGCCTCTCGTCCATGAACAGACTCAAAAGTGTCATAATAAGAATGCAGTGGCGGAAAATGACGTGCAGAAGGATATGCAATCGCCACCTCTCCTACCCCACATCTTCCAATGTTGAAAAGTATGAATGTACCTGAACTTTTGGGTGCTGGTATTCGTTGCACTGCAGGAGGCGTTCTAATGGAGGATGAGTCTCCTTGAGTCAAACGGAGGGGTGAATCAACTTTAGAATCCATTTTTAATGAACCCAACAGGAAACTGCCAACCACAACCTGCAGATACCAAGTAAAGTCGAATCCCCAAAACATAACCTTAGTTGCCAATCATCTTCAATAGAGCACCATTGGGTTAAGACATCGTATACTTCATATGTAAGGACTCGAATCAGCTGTAAGATGTAGACACCAACCTGTATTGGAGAAGCTGCCATGAGCACTCCAGCAACCCTCCCGCCAAAAACTCTTCCATCGCTTCCCGCCAAAGACACACTTACGCTTCCGGTTCGTTGCTTTTCTCCATCTTCACCGTCTGTAGGAAGATATGAACCTGACAAGGATAGTATCTCGTACCGACCCTGATGAAGAAAGCAAGTAAGCAGCTTCAGAGTGAAGAAAAATTTAATCTGAAACCACCTTAAAATTTGACCATTGTAATGTCTCCAATGCAAGACATTCTTCGCTATACCCTGTTTGGACCTGTATATTTGGAGACTAATCAGCAGTTCATGGTGAGAAATATAAGTCAATTTTTTTGTGAAGTTATAAGACTTGAGTTGGTATTGTTCATTGCAACCTTTCTAAATAGTGTTAATCGACTGATGTCTCCTTCCCCTACCTCGTACGTGACAGTGCCACCTGATGACGAGTCCTGGCGCAGCATGACATTTGAAACAGCACCATTGGCAGACAATACGCACATAGCACGTGGACCATGCTGTGCAAATTGCATGATCTTTGATGAAGCATCCTGTTTTGAACAAAGAAATTCTAGTGAGACCTTGAATCAAATATAGATGTGTCAAAGTCGGCTGATGAAGCACCGCCTCCCCACTGCACTTCTAGTCACGTCTTTGGGGAAAAGGTTTACACTTGACACAAGCCATAAATTTATAGATGAAAAACTTACCTCTCCAGTGCTAACGGTCAATATATGAGGTGTGAAGCTTTTTCCCGTTCCTGCTAACACAACTCCTAAGAAGAGAGAACGATGCTGTGAGATCAGACTGTAGCGAACCGAAATAAACGTATAAAATAATCGAAAAGATATACTAAAAAAATTGTACGAAGACCAATTCGGCTTTACGCAATACAAACTGAAAGATCTTTTGTAAAAATCTATGATTCATAACTTGAATCCTACAAAATATAAAAGATTGTACGCAAAAAGAAACCTAAAAAAAAGGTCCTTCTGATAGGACAAGTAGGTTAGAAAACATCCACTTTATCTTGTACAGGACGCGGTCCTCACCCAGATTTGCTAATTGTTGCTTTTTGGTAGAGCCTACTGGACGACCTCTTCCCCGCTTTTCCGACTTATTTGGAGGAGGTGTATACGGAGCTGCAATTTGCTTGGCAAGTGCAGAAAAAAGAGAAATGTTCCCTAAACCTGATGCAGTAACTTGAGGTGTATCACCAGTCGCGTACTTTCGGGGTCTCCCCCTCTTTCTCTTCAAAGGCAGTAAACTCCTTTGAAGGGGTGATCCACCGATAGTCATCTCCATTCTTGGAGCCATGGGTACACTCGCATTGGACACTGATGAGCCACCTTGTAATGTGGAGCTGCCGGCCCCCGAAACCGGAATCGGAGTGTGCGGACGTAAACCTACTGGCGGGTGTGACCCTTGACCGGGACCAGCACCATCCATGCCTCCACTCTTGGGACCGCTCTTTTCACCTCCCAACTCGCGCAAAAAATTCCCGAACGCAACCTGCCTATCCACTGTAACAGACATGCTATTCAAATTACTTAAACTGCCTTGCAAAGACGAAATGTACAACAACTATGAATTGGCACTCAAGCCCTCATTCAGTATTACGGACCGATCACAGTGAGAGCAATATTTAGGTAAAAATCTTTAGTAATTTTGTGAAAATAAGCGAACGCATTTCTAACACGCTTGCTGTTAAAACTAGCTGAATGTTCTCAGACCAAAGCTATTATCACCTCAACAGTAAATGGTGCACAGATTCTATTTAACATAGCATGATCACGTTTCTATACTGTTAAAAGAAATCCTGGTTTAGACCTCAACTGAGTTTAGTACAGCAACCTAGAATCTCAAACTATGAGTATATACGTAGTGCCCCATTCATGCAGTTAAAAACTGAAGCCCAAATATATCATGATCTCTGCCTCTCCTCTCGTGGGTGGACAAGAGTCTATTTTCTCACTTGCTGTATGTCCGATGTGTCCACCGCTTGGAGCTCGCTCCAGGACAATCCCTTTCCCGCCTCGACAATCTTCACTTTCTATCCTGCAGTGGGCATAGTGGGTACTGATGTCCCAAAGCCTGTCTAACAATAAGCTAGCAATACTCACTCTTCACAAGAGCTTTCTCGCCTTCAAGCGTCTGCGCTCGCTCTTCCGTAGAAACTGACTCAAATCTGGCTTTCTGCTTAGAATACGAGTCATTGAGACCCAGCAAATTTTCACTGATGCTCACACTTTCTACTCTTCGCGGAAGCGCCGACTTCACTGCACCATGCCTGATAATCATAAGAAGCACAGAGTCAAGGATCGAAAGAAGGTAAACGCGCGCCACCAATCGCCGATCTCCCTTAGTATATTCGGTCCTTCAAAGTTTCGCCAGAATAGGCTTGAGTGCAGCAACTAGTGATTCTCTCAAAGACCTCAAAACGAACTAGACACCACAGCTACCTCGCTTCAACCAGTGACGATAAACGAAGAACATTCGGCCGCTGCAAGTCCGTTTCGTGGTTTCTAACGCATAATGTTTTTCCATTTGGAGATCCGTTGTCAAATTTCACCTAGATAGAGTACTTCCAGCGCATCTCTCGCCGCTTAACTGAGAAAGCTTCGATCACGTAGCTAACCGCTAAATGGAGCAACTGTGGCTACTTGCTACACGCACTTCACGGCTAAGAATACAACATGACAAAAGTACACACCACACCACACTCAAAAATGAAAATGTACAGCTGATCTTACAACTACTCTGACACACTTGATTTCAGTAAAATTGAAGACAAAATCACAGCCGCCATGAAAGCTGCACGGATTGCCTTGTACGCTCCACACCAAAACACAAATAATCAGTCTATTCCTTCACGAGAATACCTCCCCTCACAGCAGAGCAAACTCATACACAACAAAACAACAAGACGCGTGTAATCTCGGATGATAAACCTAAATCATCTAAATTAGAACACAACCCTTGCCTCCACTCACTGTCTCCTACAGACTGAACCAAAAAAAAAAAAAAAAAAAAAAAAAAACACATTCACACCCCGTACAGGTAGCACCGCAAGCACCTGCAAAGTCCACCAAATTTATTGACAGATTGATTGATTGATCGATTGAGTTACGAAAATCCTAGACAAAGACCAGCAAGCTCTCTCACTTCCCAACCCGAGTGCATGAAACCATAGCGAGAATGAGCTAAAACCACAAAGGCACCTCGCTTTAAAATTAAAAAAACAAAAAAACCTCAAAAGCACCAGGCTGCTCTAGTAACAACGGCCACCACCACCATTCGACAACATCGGGCAGCAGCACCAAACCTGCGACTCAACAACAACGACAACGCCAGAGGGATTTCCAGCCGAGAACGCAGCGGGTGCTGCAGCGACGAGCACTCTGCAGCAAAGCCAATCCATGAGGTACTATTACTACTTTAGCTCCTCCGGTCTCGTTAACTTCCATCTCGATCATCGCCAACCTAGAATGCTGAGCAGCACCGAGCCCTTTTTCGAGGCTCCCCTCCTCTTCAAAGCTGACACCACTCCACTGCCCTGACCTCCCCTCTCTGCGACGATCCATCACTCGAGTCCGTATCCCCCCCCCCAGCCTATTATCGCTCCGCTATTTGCGCGCGGGGGGGATTCGCAGGGGGGTCCCGCCCGCGCCCTTCCTTCCTTCCTGGGTCATTCATATATAACCAAGCTTAGCTTAGCCAATGCCTAGCCCTAGCCTTAGGAGTTCCCCAACCCTGGTTTATTGCCATAGCAGCTTTTTAGAATTCGCTTGGAATGACGGAGATGGGCTCCTTTTCCACGCCCTTTCCCTCATCTTGCTTTCCCGCCCGGGCGGGCGGGAGGCAGGCGAACGGGTCTCATCATAGCTCCCCTCTCACGGGGCCTGACCTAAACCCGGCCCAGGTCCGTTGGCCCTGAGGGTCGGGGATAGGGGTAGTCACAGGCTATCAGAGAGCTGACCTGGCTGATTGGCTCGGATGTAGGGGGGGAGGATCGCTTACAAGTGCCACGTCACCAAGGTGGCGTCCGACGTGTTCCTCGCTTGGGGTTGTGGCCAGTCCGCGGGCACCGATCTCGTGGCCGAGTTCTGTCGACCCACCCAGTCCCTTCCCGTCCGGTATCTTCCCTTCCCTCCCTTGCAAGTAAGTCTAATTGTGACCGAGACATGGACCAGGTTCCGTCATGTCCCCCCCAAGGATCTGATGTCCCCACCCCACCCCCCGTTCGCCCTCGCTGCCTCATGTGTTGACCGTGGGGCAGGCTCCATTCGTTCACCCGGCGCCGTCAATAATGCCATGTTCTAATACTATTGTGCACAATTATTAAATGATATCGTATTGGACCATGTTTGAATATAAGATCTCGGGAATAAGAATGTTGGCATGTGCTTAAAAGAATACATAGTTTGTGACTTTTTTTCAGTACTTTTCTCTACCATGCATGCATGTATGTATGAATGAATGGAATTATTTGGTGTTTGAGTTGTTGAGTGTAACATTGTACTCATATTATTTGCACTTATGTTATAGCATGTAACATTATTTTTATAACATTAATGTTTGATTAATTGGGTTTCTTACCATCTGCTACATTCATAATATAGTTGATTGGTACAAGTACAAACAATGATATTGTAAAGTGAGCAGCTAATTATTTGGCTGGAGCTGATATCAATTACTAGCCTGGAGAATTATTAGCAAAGATATGAGTTAACTTGTTTAATGTTGTTAAGTTACTCTTAATTTATTTCTTTTGCAGTGAGAATAATGTCAAGATAGGAATAAAATGTGATTTAAATAATTTCAAGGCATAAAGAACTAATTGTCTTCATTCTTTGTGATGGTCTTCAAAAATGAATTAAATTTATGGAAAGAGCAAATTGTCATCATTCTTTGTGTTGAACTTCATCAAAAGTAAAAAGTTGTTTGAAGTACACATATATGCATGTAACTTGGGCTCTGAAAAAGTTGTTCATGCAAAAAATAAGATCAATTGCTTACAAAAGCGAAAAGGTCAATAAATGGGAATAAAAACAGAGGACAGTTGTGAGAAAATATTAAGTGATTTGGTTTACAGATTAAATGCACAAAAATAATATGTAGGTAAGTGTAAAATCAAATCTTTTGTTCATTATACATCCATCAAGTGATTTGATTACAACTCAAGGGCAAAAGAATTTGGTTTCAAATACATATCCAATTAGAATATTAAAATTAAATAAATTATTACTATAATGCATTTTTAAATTGTAAAAAAAACCATATATATATGTAGAGAGAGAGAGAGAGAGAGAGAGAGAGAGATTTTACAAAAGATTTTACACAATGAAAAATTTTGAGTTCCTAAAAATATAACAAATCAATGTTTATATCATTGAAATAATAAGAACAAATATAAATATTAAAATGGTAGCTAAAGATTAGAGGCTAAATAATACACATTGTTATTTTTTTGTTATTGTTGAGGAAGTAAATAAAATAATGTATTGATTCTTATATCAAAAAGAAAATGTTGATGGGATATATGAATAAATTTATGTGTGAGTGTGTGTGTGTGTGTATATATATATATATATATATATATAGTCACATAAAGTTTTAAATGCTCATAAAAACATTTATGTATAGAAAGTTTTAAAGAATAATTTCATATATTATAATTAACATTAACTTAAATTAAGACTACAACATATCAGTTTTGCACATTTTTAATGAAAATATTGATTTGTAGTATCATTAAAAATAGTTTTTTTATACTAAAAACTGTTATAGTAGCATGTTTTTGACTTTCATACTTAAAATATTTCTAGTGCTTGTTAATTGCAAAGATCTGTGCTAATGAATACAGAACAATAGTGGATAATCAAGAGTCATTTTCTTTTTTAATATTTTTAAATATTTTTCATGTTTTTGTTAAATTTTATATTAATTTTAAAAATAAAATATATATTAAAATGAAAATATTTTTAATAATTTTATTATAATTATAATACTTCTAATTATAGTAATTAATATATGTATTGAATTTTTTAAATGAAAATATATTGGAAAAAGAGTGGAAATATATAGAAATAACATCATGAATTTGATTTGGCTTTTTTTATTTATTTTATAATATAAAACAGAATTTAATTATTATTTAGCAATCCATTCAACAGTAAAAATTTTATTCTTTAAATTAAAAAAACTTAATTCTCTTCAAAAGATAAGAATCGGAAAATTCTGCTAAGTGAAAGAATATTGGAAAAACCAAATTGCACAAAAATGTTTTTAATAATAACCACAAGAATTTAGAATTTTTTTAAATAAACAAATTTTGAATCAACAATATGTTAGATGGAGTATAAAATTATCTTAATTTGATTATATAGTTACATGTTGACTTGATAACGTCTAATAAAAAATATAAATTCTTTACTTGTATGTCTTCTTTGGTGACTAAGAAAAAAAGATGTAATATTAGACTAATAAAACAAATCTCAATTCAAAGCAATTAAATTAAATTAAATTATGTAGATTAATATCTTACAATAATAAGAGAATAAATATGAAAAATTTTAAAGATTGAAAATATATCAAAATAATTAAAATAAATAAATAAATGGATGTTATAGTAATTATTTTGAACTTAGTAATAGCTTACAATTTTTTTTAAAATTATTGCATCTATCTCTAAGATCTATATGTCTTTTTAATTTTGAAACACATTATATTTTTAATATTATGGTCTATTTTGGCTTTAATATTTCAATACAATTAATGTCTTTAAATTATTAGTAGCTCAAAATGTAAAAGTTTGTGAGGGAATTGTATTCAATCTTATAATATATGTGCTAAAATTTAGGTTATAAAGCAACATTTATATGATTTGATTCTAAAATTCCCTATATAAAAAAAAACTGTATCATTTTTATTGTTTAAAAATTTATTATTTATTTATTAATCTTTAAAGGCAATATTTAAACCATTTTACCAAGTAACTTATTTTATTCTATAAAAAACACAAATATAAGTTAATAAAAATCTAAAATAAAATTTATTATTATCTATAATTAGAATTATTAGTAGAAGAATTATTCTCAGAATAATTTACTTATATTAGGCTTCTAAAAAGTAATAAATTTACATGATAGATAGGATCTTAAGGCATAACTATTTAAATTTATTTGATAGATGATTACAAATGGCCTCAGTATTTAATAGTGTATCTTCTTCAATTGTTAACTAAAGAAGCTATTTTAATCTCTATTTTTTATATTTGTATTTTTAGTATTAATTTATATTATATTTATATCAATTTTGAGCTTCTTAAAGATGACATATGAATTCAATTTAGATGAAAAGAATTTAACTAATGCAAACCAAAATATACAAGATTTTTCATCATCAATATTTGAAAAATCAAAAATCAATATTTTAATAGAAAATTAAGATAATTAATAATGCTACATCCCCAATTGATATTGCTACACCTCACATGTCTTCTACATGACTTAAATTGTCTAGAAAGTGTACCTTTATGCTTAAGATACATTTGGTAGTCTAATATTTAACTTCATTATTGACCCAAATAGAATAAATTAAAAATGAGTTTTTTTTTTTTTTTTTTTTTTTTTTTTTGTGTGTTTTTGGCAGCAAAAAATCAAAATAAAAAAAAATTGTTTAAATTAAACCATTTTTGGATTATTATATATATATATATATATATATAGAGAGAGAGAGAGAGAGAGAGAGAGAGAGAATAACTCACAACTTATTTTTTCATAAAATATTCATTGTCTCCCTCTCAACAACCACTCTTTCTATAAGCAAAGAGAGGAAATAATGTGCTAAAAAAAAGAGGCATATTGTTAGCTAGTTGTTTACAATGAGGTTATGTGGGGTGTAATAATATCAATTGGAGATGAAGCATTAACAATTCTCAAAATTAAAGATTATTTTGTACATATATTAGATGCAAAGTAGATCCCCCTTCCAAAAAAAACTAAATATTTATTATATTGTGTATGAAGAGAAATAATTAAATACAACTTTGTTACAAGTAACTTTAGTATTATGATATTTAAGATTAAAAAATCTGAATATTAATTAATTTTCTATTATTGCAAAATTTTGCTTTATTGTAAGTTGCTTTGTTTTGTTAAATAACTAAATTATTTAACACAATAGACATACAAATTTCTTTTCTAGCACTTTCAACATGGATGGCAATCTTATCATGTAAATTTATAGAAAAATTATGTTTCAATTTAATGTTTCCTGCTAAGTTCCAAAAATAATTCTCCAAATTCAATCTACAAATAAATATTGTCTAAAACATTTGCATCTACTTGGTTGAAATTAAGAACAGAGGATTGATACCCACACATTGTCCACCTACTACCACTAAATTCACACTTGAGTTTTGCTTGGGCTACATTCACTTGGCCAAATCTTATCACCTTTAGGGCCATTCATTCATCAGGCAAGCTTAAAGATCTTACATTTTTGTGAACTTCTAATTAGGGCGAGCAATGGTTTAACATGGTCATCCTCCCCAATGCCATATTTAGAGGTTGATTCTAGGTGACTCTTTCCTACCAATGAATTTTTTCTGGAATAAAAACGCTTATATACGTTTTCATGCAAACTAGAAGTGGCAATTACATGCTTTCGAGACATGAATCAAATCAAATCAACGCCTATGATGCTTCAGGCAAATGTAGTATTTTGCATAGCTCCTCCCACAGACACTGGTGCCATATCAGAGTTGACAGCAGAAAGACTCACTAAGCCTAGGATTGGATGTGGTTTAGAAGCCTCTGTACCCACTGAGAGTATGTATGTTACCGTATTCTGTGCATAGACTTCAAGTGAGGCATTCAGATTCCGGGCACCAGACAATCCTGCACAAAAGCTCAGCAAATCGCTAATCTACCTATCTTCAGCTGCACTCTGCAAGCATAAACTGCTCAACTCTGGTTGCACCTTCCCATAGAGGAAGGTCAGTCAGAACATTCTGACAGAGCTTACATCTCATGCAGATTGTCCATGGCGTAATTGTGGTGGCGTGTGCTCCCATGAGCCACTGCAGTGGCTGGAAAAGAACCTTCTATGCATAGGGATCAACAATCACAGCAAACTGCATCCGTGACGATGTGTGCAAATTCAGGAAATAGCCTCACTCTGCGTCCAAATCAGCTGGTGCAGGATAAGGATAGGCATCAGCTGGTCTGAAACGACAAAATTTATTGCAGTTGGAAAACCAGAAGGCTATTAAAACTTTTTCTTCGATAAGAGACTCGTCGACGAACTGAATTCTTGAGAATTGTAAGAGTGATAATGAAGGTCATGAGATGATTTTCCTGCATTAATGCCCTTGCAACTGCAGAGGGTAAACAGAGTTTACGTGATTCTAAAACCTTGAACAATGGAGAATCAAAAGTGACTGACTCCTCTACGCTGCAGCACCAAATCCAAACGTCTTCACAACGTTGCTAACTCGCTCAGCAAAGGCTGCTGAAGTAATTCTCTTTCCGGGTACATGGAAGGGGTTGGATGCTGCGTCTACATATGCTCCATGAAGGCGCCGAAAAAACTGGACATCCAAAGAGAGAGCGTAAGTGGAACTGACCACGCTCCTCACTAGAGTTGATAACACATTTGACTCTCATCTGATGTGAAAATCAATTATTTCTGAAAAAAATTAGGTAGGTCTGGAATTTGCAATGTTGCTGGACACTTACATTTCGAACATCAGCATCCCGCAAGTCATGATCCGTAGTCACCAGGACAAACTTAATCTTTGTGTTACTCATATAGCCAAACCTGCTTTGTCAAGGAGCCAAATCAACGACGCTAGCGGCTGTGAGCACCCTCATCCCATAATCAGGTACACAATCTAAGCTGATACTCAAGGGGATCGAATTCAATTTTTTTCTAAGTTGAATTATTGCACACGAACTTCTTCGGTTTAAGAAGAAAAACCAACTTACGGCTTGTATGAGAACTGATACAACCTGAAATACAGGAAAATCATAATGCTGAGAAAACAACTTACACTTTATAGTCTTCTGTAGGGTAGAGAAGCCCCAAGAATGTCTCATTGAGATTCACACCAGCTCTTTTAGAATTGCTTACTGCCACAGATACAATACAAGAGCATTCCTTAAATTCATGCCTGCATCCTCGCTTGTGAGGCTCAAACTATGCAATCCCAAAAACTGACACGTTCAATATTAGCTACAGAAGTAGCCGAAGCGGATCCTTGCTGCTGCTGTATACCCTCGAAGGTAATGCAAGTAAGCACTGAAGGAGGAAAACCTGGAATGAAGAAAAGAATTCTTTGCGGGAAAAAGAACGACGCAGCATCCACAACTGTTTGTTATTTGGTGTCATGGAGGCGAGGTAATAAACTTGGTTTAATTTAGGTTATTGCAGATGGAAATTTGCAAAAATATCCTAGAAGATAGTCAGCAACCGCTACCTTTCTCTTCGATTACGTCCAGAGAGCAGTGAACAATGTAGTGAAATTTTAGGGTATTGTCATCGTCAACGAAACTCTGCAGGTATAGTGGATTGTTCTGCAACCCCACAACCAATGTCAATCCCCTCTACTCGCATAACCTAAATCGACCAACCCCATCGATTTAAGAGCTCCGGGGAAAGAACTCAGCAAAGTTTGGCACGGATCCAAAGCGGCATCAAGACTTCGGGTTGGCCGACTCCATGCAACACACACTTGCTACTCTTGTCTCACTTTGACAAGACGTGCCGCAAACAGAAGCAAGAACAAGTTCTAGACCTATTCGCGCGACTATCACTTTAAGCTAACTTCGCAGACGGATGGGAAACGCAAAAAATCAATTCAATGGGTTGAAATGCTATACATTGTGTCCCACGACAGCTACACAAACAATCATGGTGCTATGGGTTTGATTTCTAGGCGGATCGAGGCAGTTCGTTAAGAAAACGCTTCCGCGGCGTATCCTCCACAATCCTGCTTCGCAAGGAACTTCCAACCTTCAACTAGGCAATTCGTCAGCCTGTTAGATTCTGAGCATGTCTTCCGATTCCTGCAAACCCCAGATCCTCTGCCTCTCAGCTTCGTGCACACCCAATCAAGCAAATATACACAACCAGAAACAGTTGCAGAACGTCTCTAAAAAACCCGCACAGATAATCGTAGATCAGAAGATCGGCATGTTTGTTGCCGATTGTCACTTCATCTCTCTGTTAACTCTTCAAACCAAACATAACCTAATGAAGTGATCCCTTAACACGTGATAGAGAGGATGGAAACTACCAACCGAGCCTTATTACTTCAAATGGTATGGCCCCGCCACCTTCTCTTAAAGCAATATTAGTAGTAGGGTTTGCCACGTGTTCCTTACCAAAACTGGGTTTCAGCAGCAACATCGTCGGTGTTGAAGAATCCCGTGCATAAGACTCATTTGTTAGCTTCTTGATGGGAGAGAGTAGCTGAGGCTCATGCGTTAGAGATTTAGCAAGCTGAATTTCACTGAGTCTTTGCATTTATTTGGGTTGTTTTTACAGCTTCTCATGCATGATTCTGTCGCCGATCTAAACTCCGCCTCGTACAGGGCAGCTGTAAAAACTCAAACGATGATGATGTTGCTGGCAGGGCTTGCGTTGGGAATTGCCTTTCTAGTGCCTTTCTTCTGCTTGTTGCTGCAGTCTTCCACATTGCAGCCGCGTCCGCTGCCTTCTACTAAAAGTGGGTCTTCAACGTCACATCTTCCGATTGAGTGCGCAATCTGGCTCCTCGTGAGACTGTTTCTCGTTCCAGAATACGACTATGTAATACAATCTATTGTGAGTAGGATGCACATTGAGTAACGATGTTTGAGTTCTTGATTGATATGTGTAAATCTGAAATAGTTTTATTTAACATCACATTCCCCTTGTGCTTGCCTCAATGCCAGAATCTGCAAATGGAGAAAATATCAATGTCCTCTTGGTAGTGGCACACCCAGATGACGAATCCATGTAATCTAGCTTTCTTACTTTTTCGAACCTTGAAGACTTGAGATCTTAATTTTTTTGAGATTTAGCCAGTATTGTTGCATTGGAAAATAGCAGCGGCAGTGAATTGATGTGGTTTGCAATTTATGTGAGGGGAGTTGAAAGCCATGATAAACCATTGCTGGGACCATTGTTTCTTACATAGGTTCTTTGGACCAACTCTGCTGTCGCTTGCTAAGCTTGGAGTCTACAATATTCACACGATTTGTATGTCAACAGGTTCGATTTCTATCCAGGGCGTGCAATTGTAGGATTTTGCTTCAGAGCTGCTAGGTGCTACCTTTGCAGGACCTGTTAGTACATATGATCTCTGAGTATTTAGTAACATTCGTGCATTGTTTTGACATCGAAGTGTTCGGAGGTACATTATAGGTAACGCTGATGGACTTGGTAGTGCGCGCAAGTCGGAGATGTACACCGCGTGTTCCGTCCTCCAGGTGCATTCCCCAGCCTTATGTTCTGGCTTTAGCCCTTGTATCTTGGGATAGAAAAATCGAAAGAATTTGATGATTAGAATATGAGTGAGTTATTCAAGAGTACTCTGAAGGAAATCTTCATCGTAACCCTAATTGTTACGCTTGCGTTCACATTAGCACCCAGAAGCAACTGAATTAGCCCACTGTTAAATGTATTGTGGTTGTTGACTGACTACATGCGCAGCGGAGTTCAATTCCATTGTTTGTATGATCAGTTCTCTGGTCACTCCTGTGGTTTTGTTGCTCTTCCAAGTAAAGGCGGATGTATTTTTATATTTCCTCTTGAGGTAGTGATAGAGAGATTAGTGGTTTTGCTTTGTTCGGATGCATAGATGTTGCAAAAATCTGCCGTCTCTTGCTAGCAGTGTCCTTGTTCACATGTAACTGACCCAATTTTCGTTCTAAGAAGTTTGAGATGGTGGGGCAGATTCCAACAGCGAATGTCAATGTTGTTGACCATCCATCCCTCCAAGTAAGCTTCTCCTGCTCTGTTCTTTCTACTAGTCCAGTTTTAAAATCATTTACTGAGGTTCTCGTTAGTCTCTTCAGAGATCATGTTCAGATGTTCATGGCATAAACTGGGTTCGTTGAAATGGCTTCAAATATTCTTGCATATAAAGGTGTTAAACCGCAACACCTATTGTCTGATACAGGATGGATTTTCATGTCAATGGGATCAATCACTCATTGTGAAGCTCTTAAGGCAGGCAGTTGCAGATCACAACATACAGATCGTAAGTCCCTCTTCCTAGATTCTATCGGTTCTGTTGATTAGACTCTAAGTACTTCGCAGCATTCATGTTTCTGTCTTTTCCATGGCCTGTCTCTCGAAATTGTTATTTTGTCTCCAGATGTCTTGTCTTTCTTTGTTTGCAACACTCATTAGATCAGGTTTGATACCGTCAATGACATGCTTGTGCAGAAGGTATCCTTTTTATCTCTCTTGAGAATTTTTTCGAGAATCAGGTTTCTCGAGGAAGATAAAAAAGCTCATTTCTATCCAAAATTTGTGTCCTGTTGCCTCGAGCTTGGAAGGTCACCCTCGGGTTGGTTCTTTCAAATGTCTCATTACTTAAAGTTCTCTGAAATAATGTAAACGTGCTTTGTCTGCAGATCCTGACTTTCGATAGCTATGGCATCTCTGGACATCCTAACCACCGTGCAGTTCATAGTGGAGTACGGTAAGCAGCACAGAACTGCAGCCTTAAAGTCGTGAGTTATGTGATGTACATCGATAGCAATTACTACATACTGCTGATGCTTACGAGGTGTATATCGTGGTTTCCTGCGGTAGGTAACATTGCAACAAGTTTATCATCGAAGTTTCACTATGGCTAGGATGAACTCTGTGCAACGAATCCAGAACAAATATGACATGCTTTACATCGTGTGTTACAGAGCGTTTCTGTTTGAAGAAGGAAATACGATAAACAGCAAGGAAGGCTCTGCGGATGAGGTTATTCAAGGATGGGAGCTTGTAAGCTTTCTTTGCTCTTATTTTTAGGTTGCCACAGCTAATATACTGTCCATTGTTTCTGACTTCTAACCCTTACAAAGGAAGTGCATCTAAGTAGATGCGTCATATTGAACTGCATTTACTAGAAGAAGATAAAGAACTTTGAGGCTTGCTGAGACATGCCTAGCAGGACCTAAAATATCTGTGAAAATTTTGTAGGCAAGTACAAACATGTTGCGGAAGTACTCTGGACCATTTGAGCTTTGTGCACTGGTGCTCAAGAGGATTTCAATTGACGAAGAAAAGTTGCATTATCTTGTCAATCCAAGTCCTAGGACAAGTATTGTGGCCATGAGTCAGCATAGAAGCCAATGGGTTTGGTAAGATTTAGAACTTGATATGCTATTTTTTCAATCTTTTTTTTCTTTTTTTCTTTTTGTTTGATCACGTTTGCCTTGGAACATGCAGTATGGGAATGAGCTGTCATACAAGCGTTATTACATTAATAGAAATGTGCATGTATTACTTCCATATGCAATGGTGGCTGCACTTTGCAGTGCTGCATTTGCTTGCACTTCAGTGTTTTAACGTCTTGAAGTTCATTGCTTTGATGTCAAATAAGTGTTCTGCTGTTACAGGTATCGAAGACTTTTTGTTTTATTCTCTCGCTACACATACATTAACACGCTGAAGAAAATGTCTGGATGAATAATGCTGCTTTGTTACATCTGTAAACGCTTACGAAATTCTACAACATCAAGGTATTTATCCACCAGTTGTAAGGTCTGGTGCTACATGCATTGTGATGCTTGTCTCGGCTTTTCATTGATTAGAAGGTCAATTTTACAAAGGAAATAATGGAAGGTCATGAAACCGCCAAGTGATCAAGTGGAGAAGTGCTGGCTACGAAAAAACAATACTTGTGAGTGGCTGCTTCGTTGATAACACCCAGTTGAATCCACAAACTTCATAAAGTTCACATTTCTACAACCTTTATTGAGCCCTTGCCTCACTTGCCCCTCTGCCGTTTTGGAGAGCATTAGAGTATAATTGTAGGTCTTCCGCAAGGAGGTTTATGACATACAACTCTTATCTTCACAGGAACCACAGTGAAGGAATGAGGCTGATCATGTGCTATTCAGTTGCTTTGTGTAATGTGGCATGAAAACACCTCCCTAGCAAGGCTGAGTGTACAGTGGAGGTTTTATGATAATGGAAGGATTTATAGCTTAAGTAGCTGATTTGTAATCTCACAGATGATGTCTCCAAATTTATTTCTAAAAGCTACCTTCTTTTCTTTTTGCTGTTTCATACATCTAGTTCAATATTACATTTTTTTCATTATAATATTTGAGGGTAGAAGTATTCACCCTATTAAACATTTTAACAATTATAACATAATTGTCTTTGTACAGTGTTGCTATTGAAATATTATTGCTCAACTTCAATATTATATTTTAATTTTTGTAATACAATATCATAGATTTAGACTGTAGTGTATTTTTGTAACTTTGTACATTTTGTTAAAACTTTTTACAACATCCAATATTATTAAAGGAAATTTTTACATTATTCTAATATAACTTTTGAATTATAAATATATTAAAAAGCTTTCATAAGAAGTTTTTTGTTGTAATTTTACTAATAATTTTTATTAATATACTTCTCTATAAGCTTTAATTAGTGATTTGTACCAAAAGTTAAAAGAAGCCTTAGTTAGTATAAATAAATATGTGGCATAAAATTATAAATTATATATCAATGTTAAAAACTTCATCAAATACATATGAATAATAAATAAACAAAATAATCCAAAGATATTTTTTAATTTAGTATTTATGAAGAAATTATAAATAACACTTATGGTAGTCTTTAATTAATATTCATATGTAAATTAATAATTTAAGGATTTAAAAACCTATATTATATATCATGAAGTTAAATATTATCAATAAAATATTTATTGATAACATTTTATTTGAGCATTCTAGTTTTATAAATTAAAATTAAACTATGTTATTGTCAAAGACATGAATCTCAAAGAAATAGAATCTCAATACATTCTTGTGTCACTTGAAAAGACTAGAAAATCATTCGAAGATAGTTATATATTGAATTAGAATGGCTATTGCCAAAGATAAGAAGACTAGAAAGTCTTGAAACAAGCCTAAGGAGTAGAAAGGCATTGAGAAGAGTGAAGAAGGCTTCACTCTTGCCTCCAGATATACTATCTAATTAGGAGTTACGTGGTGACGTTCTATAAGACTTCCAACACATGTTGACTTTGCAAGACACATATTTTAACTTGCAAACAAAGTTTTCTCTTTGTATGCCACATAGTTAGCTTGTTCCACAAGCTATCAACATGTATGGTATATAGCTAACATATTGACCAAGTTTCTAACCTACCAATCAACTACAAATATATGTAAAGTCAAAACCGCATCTATAATGCTTTTACTGAGCTTCTTTAAAAGATATTATGAAATTAATTTATTTTTATCATATAGGTAATTATTGGAATAAATATATATGTCCATGACAGTTATATAATTCTTAGATCATGCAAGTTATAATAAATAGAAATATAATTTTTATTTTATTTTATTCTTCAATCATGCAAACTAAGCTTTATTCTATTCATCTTAACCTACTTCATCTTCCAATAATTTAAATTTGGCCAATGTCTAATAATTAAGTCAAGATTTGGACAACCATTTTTTATTAGGTGGTTTAAATATTACCTCTAAATTCTCTACAACATTCAATCTTAAAGTATACATGTTAGTCATTATTGCCATTGTTGAATACTAAAATGAAATGATTCTTAAACATTAGATATAATTTTATTATAATCCAGAAACCAATATTATAGTATAGAATGATTAATATATAATATAAAAATATTAAAAATATAATAAATTTGATATTTTAATAAAATTATTGTAAAAACATTATTATAAATTTTGTTTTAATTTAACAAAATCTATTAGTTGTAATGTATAATTTTTTTAATTTTTAATTTTTTCAATAGAATATCATAATATCTTCATATATTGCAAAATCTTAATAAAGAATATAAGCATTATTATATTTTGATTTCAAAATGTGAAGAAAACATTATCAAAGATTATGTACTTTTAATATTCAAATATTTTTTAATTATAATAATATTAAGTTTTTTTTCCTTTTTATTTAATAAAAATAATACAAATATTCATGATATATTTAAAAAGTTATATATTTTGATGGTTATGTATATATATTAATGAAATCAAGTTTTAAAAAAAGTAAATAAATCAATTATTATACTATTTTAATATTCAAATATAAGACTATATTGAATCATGTCATTTTTAGTTAATTTTTTGGGTTAATATTTATAAAAAAATCTTAAATCAATCCATGTATTTATTAAATCAAATCACTTATTTTAAGGGCATGTCTACTTGTTGGCACCATCAAGGCCAGCTAATCCCACTCATACCCTTCCCCCCTCCCAATACTTTCGAGAAGTCCCTTCACTAATGGTTCAAATTGGCCAAAATCTGGAGGAATAGGAGGAAGGACAAGCTCTTAGGGAAATTCTTTATCTTTCTAAGGACAAACTTGCCAAGGTCATTGAATAGACCATGACAAGACCTATTTCAAGGCCAAGGCATCCAACATTGTAATTTGCACCAATAGTGGCAATGCCATAACCATCATCCAAAAAATCTCCACTATTAGATCCACAACTAATGAAAAGGGGAGCTCAAAAATTTATGTGCACATGCATGAAGATAGATGGATTGATTTAGTATACGCCTAAGTCGATTTAACAATCCCATATTGAAAATAAAATATACATATTTTTAGAAACTTATATACAAATGTCATGGTTTTTAACTTGAGGAGGAGGAGGAGGAAGGAACGCGGAAAGAGGCAGGCAAGGATGATGCCTTGGGGGCCAAGTCAAACGGCATTGACCATATTTCTCTCTCTCTCTAAGAGACGCAACCTCGCCGCCGTTGTGCAATTCTCCCTTGCAATCCGATTTCCCTCCCTCGATTGCATGCACCGCTCAGTCGCCACTCCTCTTGCTTCGTTTTCACCATTGCTCGGGCATTCTGTAGAGACCAATTTCGATCTCGGAGACTACGTCTTGAGGCTGATAGGGCCACACTAGGGTTTCGTGTCGCGTCAGGGTTTGGTTGTGAAGAAGGGTGGAGTTGGAAAGGGTGTGGTGAAGGCTGTTGCGGTAATTGTAGGTGCCGGTTTTAGGATTTGGATTTGCAGAGGCGGTGGAACCAGGGTGAAGTCGTGGTGGTGGAGAGGTTGGCATTTGAAGAAGGTTATTTTTTTTTGGTTTAGTTACTTTGGAGGAGGTTGTTGTTGTCGTCGTCGGCAGAAGGTGCGATGGATTGGAGTAATGTGACGATAGATGAGCTTGCGGATGCTTTGAAGGAGGTCGAGTGGTCGCAACCGCCCCGTCCTTTGACAGAGTTCTTTGCCAAATTTGCTGTCCCGAAAACGCAATCGAAATGGGATGGGCGCTTCAAGTGCAACATTTATTAGTAAGTTCATCTTGCTCCGCGTGTTGTCGCGTCTGATTCTTGTGGTTGGGTTTTTGGGAATGTGCCTCCGTCACTATCGATATAGGGGCTGCCAATTGAGTATTTAGGTTTTGGCAGATGAATCGACTCCGCTGAGTTTACAACGCACTCTCCTCTAAGTCCACTTACGCTTGTGCGCTTGTTTCTTTTTCTTTTTCTTTTTCTTTTTTTTTCTCTCTCTCTCTCTCTCTCTCTCTCTCTCTCTTTATTTACTTTTTATTTTTTTTGGTTGCCCCTAGGATGAGAAACCAGGGTGATATGCACTTACAGGAGCTTTTGAAAGGACCGCTATGTGTTGACTCGTATGAAAGTAGACGCTTTAAGGATACATTGGATTATGCTGTACTTCAGAGATATTGGCAGCATTTCATTCAAAATACTCTTATGATCTGTGTTACTGATTGTTGTCCATTCTTAGGTTTAGCTCACGAATAAACTCTAGTTCTAGTTTCGTTTTGCATGTTTATGTCTATTTATTGGAGAGGTCCTGTGTCCATCAGATCCAAACTGCATCTGAAGGACCTCGGCAGTCTTATTGTGGAGGAGCCCGTTGATTATGGCGGACATTCAACGTCTTCCAGTGAGATGCGTTTCCCTGATGCTTGCTTAGTTGTTGATGCACTACTGGAACTAGTTTTAATGGGTTGATGCATGCGTTGGAGTACGTGTAGCTCCCCTTGTTATATTGAAGCCTTTCGTGCTGTCAGACACTTGTTGAATACTAGGTGATCGTTGTGTTTTAATTGAGGCATTCAGAGCATTTTAACTATCTATGCGTGGTTTGTACCTGGTACATTGCTGATCTTTAAGTCAGTATTATCGCAGGCATGTTATTTAGGGTTTTTTGTGAGTTTCTCAAATATGTATTGCAGTCTACGTTTTTCAAATGTTCTATTTGCGCATGGCTAGATTGAATCGAAGGCAGGTGTGCTTCATTTTATTATGCATCATTATGATAGTGTTTTATTTATTTACTTTTAGTTATTCGTCTCGATGCAACATGTTTTAAAATTCATACCATGCAGTGAGGATGTTAATATGATGGCGTAGCACAATGATCTGGGTTAGGTCTTCACACCTTCAGGTGTTTCAGGGTTAAGACAAAATGTTTCTCTGTTCAGTATAAGAGGTCCTTCGTGTATCTATAGCAGTAGGCACTAACCTATTTTGTATTTTGATGCAGTTACCGGACAAACTACTTTTGTCTGTTGATTCTCGTTCTTGGTAAGACTTTCTCAATGTATACTTGATCAGCTCACATGTCTACATTCATTTTCTATTAGTTCTTTGTTGGTTTATGTTAATACCAACCTGAGTGTTTTCGCAAATCATTTATTCAGTTTCTGAGGAAGATGGATGGTTTGATGATTATTGTTCAGAACTTATTACAGCTTGCTATGTTCGTGATTTTACTGGCATCCTAAGCTCAGCGCCATTGTTAGTTTTACAGTCTATTAATCTTTTAACCACCCGATTTGTGCAGTGATTGCCTTCATGCGTAATCCACTGGCATTATTGGCGGTATTTTTGACAGCTCTTACTCTAGCCTGTCTTAACGATAGGTAAGACATGTGACCTTGTTTCCATGGATATTTCCACGTTTACCTTTATGTCGATACCTTTTTCTATGGCGGGTCTCTGTTTCTCCTTCGAAATATATTGTCGAATGGTAGGGAGTTTGATGCATAGGAATGTCCGAGGACCCTAGATGCACTGTCTGCAAGTACTCCACAGTGATGTCCAGTAGTACGACATTACTTGTTCTGGTGGGTTGGTTTATGTTATTTGTCCGTTTGTATCACTTGGAGCTTATCCTTTGGGGTACTTGGGTGGGATCCAGTTTTGCCGTGGCGCTTAGTGAAAAATTGACAAGGACAGTACGAAGATTTTCTCCTCCACTCGCTCACAAATTGCGTGCCCCTGTATCGTAAGGACCACTTTCCTCTCGCTTAATACTTCGTATCACTTTCCTACTTACCTACTGGAGCATATCTGGCACCTTATAGCATGTATTTAGCTGTGTTGTGTTATGTAATATTAAAGAGGATTCAATAACTGTTTCAGGACTATCTAAAAGCTACACTAAGATAATTTTAAAGAAGATTTGCGTGAAATATACAATTCTATTCTATCAAGCCTAATGTTATCTAAATTTTATATGCGCGTGCAATAGACAAGCGGTCGTCAAAAACCTGATGCATGTCTGATTTGTGCAGGACGGGAACAAGAGGGCGGCCATTGAAAGGCAACGTTTACATTTGTGGTCGTGATCGTCGCCTCTTCGTAGCTGGCTTGGGATTTGGTATGTGAAATTAACGGACTTCTGAAGTTTTCAAGAACTGTTTGATTTTGTTTCCCGCATTCTTTTCCCCATCGGAGTGAAGACGTTGCGCTTCTTAATTAATTATACAAGTAATAATCGAAGTGTTCATGATCCTTTCCATTCGTTTGTTGTGGCATTATGCAGATATGATTCTTCCATGTCTATCTGTGGTGGAGTGAATTAGAGTGAGTGCACTACTGCTGACGTGTGAACTCCATCTTCTGTACCCTGGGAAAAGTAGTACTGACCGGTGATTTGGTGCATCTTGTGCAGTTACCACGCTAGTATGGTGGTATTCTGCTGCTGTCTTGACCGTTTTCGGATCTCTACTTATTGGGATTGCATGTAAGGCTTCTTTTTAGTATTCTGGGCACAGAAAGCCACACAAGTCGTGACTTTGATTTCTTTCCCAGAAGTAGTCTTCGCTCTCAAGATTTTGATTGACTCATTTCGACACACGTTTTCCTGCTTCAATATCTATCTTTATCAAATGCATTGTGGTCCTCGGGTTAACACACATGGTGCCTTTCGTGTGACGCAGTACCGTTTCTACATGCAACTTTCCGTACTCCAAATTTGAAGGCCCGGCTGAACTCTTTCCGAGAGGAGTTTCGTGCAGTTTGGAGAGGCTATAGTGATGCTTAAAATGGCATCTCTTGAGACAACCAAGAATAGTCTGGACGTCATTTTCCACCTTATTTGTAGAGGAATGGTAACAGTCTCGTTGTGAAAGCTTGGATACTTGTTGCTTTACTATAATTTGTACTTCGAATACCATAAGTTCGTTCATTTTTCTAGATGTGCTACCAATCCTGTGGCAAGCTACTTTAATTGTCTAGTTCACGATTTAATCAATCCGTGTGTTCAGAATTTTACCACTGTACAGGTTCCAGTAGACAATGTCTCTCATTTTATTTGCTGAAGTATATAGTCTTTGTCAACTGTAATTAGACGGGGCTACGGCTCGAAGTGAACACTTCTCTGCTTTTAGAATGCGCCAGTTGTGCAAAAGGAAAGTTTTCTTAATGCACACGTAATGCCGATTATTCCGTAATAGGGAAATGTGTTTCTGAACGTTTGCGACTGTGTCCTTGGTCCTCAACGAAATAGTGTTTTAGTGATAGCTCTTTGAATTGTAATCGAAATCACCCTAACCTCTTTTCTTCGGCCACCTGAAGTCTTTAGACAGACATTTGTAGATCGATTTACTTGTGATTGACATATAAGTCTCAATACTTGTCGTCCCAGTTTCTAGTCCACACATGGAACGAGTCCCAAGTTACGAAACAGACTGCAAGTATCGTTTTCAGTAGCAGCGGCAGACTCGAAACGCTGAAGCCACAGAACATCACTTCTACAACCAGATCGCTCAATCTGATTTTACTCTCAGTAATTTATTGATCTAGTGCTGATAGTAGTTGTAGTTTTGGAGATCTCATACTACATAATTAAAGCGGGCTTTGCCAATGATGTAAATCTCACACTATATTTGAATTATAGGGTTGCAGCTGATTGAACCTTGCTGATACACCTTTACTCTTCTATTTGCTGGAAAGAGTGATAACTTTGTCTTCAGTGTTTTCAAGGGAGGTGGGTTCCTTCTTGCTGAAGTTTTCTCATTACATCTGCGACCCCCAACTTCGAACTATCCAGAATCTCGTGCTTTTGCGGACTTGTTGATGTGGATTTTCCAGTAAAATCTTCTGAGTTCACACAAACTTGAATTGTCCAATACCGAGCACCTCGTGTTCCACATCTCTGGCTGGCCTAAGTCAAAATGAAGAAATGGGTTGCCAGCTTCATTACTCCTCCAATCGATTTGAAAGGTATGCAACTCTGTAATATGAATTGCAATCCATCTTCCATTGTCTGATTTGCTATGTTTGACAACATCAAACTGCAATCAAAATATGTATGTATGTATATATATATGTATGTATGTATGTAGGAAATTCTAAAATTGACCCAAGAATTTACTAAATTGATCCACTCATTCTAATCATCATGAAAAGAAAATTCCAATGTTGGATCTATATTGATAAAAAATTAATGAAAAATGATTGAATCCTCAACCAATGATGATGGGTGAGTTGATTTAGTCAATGTATGGATCAATTTAACAATTCCCTCTATCTATCTAAATATACATACATAAATATATATATAAGAGAATCTTAAATCAACTCATAAATTGATCCATTGTCAGCAAAATATACGTCCACTATGCTTTAATCTTAGATCTATTCTACTCAACTTTTAGATCTACTGATAATGGATCTATTTAAAAAAATATGTAAGTTGATTTAACATCTCTCTCTCTTTCTCTCTCTCTCTCTCTCTCTCTCTCTCTCTATATATATATATATATATATATATATGTATATATTAGAAAATGTACTATAGATTTATATGCCAATTTAATTCATTCAAACAACTTCTAACTATATAACATTGTTTAATTAATTTATGGACTGAAGAATTCTTTTTCAATTTATTAATGGCTTAATTTGATTTTTTTTTTTTTTTTTTTTCATTCTATTCTTTCTTTCTTTGCTAACCATATGATTCTATTTTTTCTAAAAAATAAAAATAGTTTTTACAACATTATATTTTGAAAATAGATTTAGAATCAATTTAAAAAGAGATATAGTTTTATCAATATGATTATTTATTTATATGCATATATTTTTCTATTTTTTGATTAATTATTTTAATTATTTAAAAAAATCCTCATAAATAAATAACTATATATATATATATTACCAAATTTTAAACCAAAAGTTTTAAAGTTTCAAGTTGTAATTTTAATTTCTATAATTTATTATTATTATTATAACCTTTTATAGCTTATTACCATTCGAACATATATTAAGAGAGTTGGGGTTAATAACTTTAGAGATAAATAATTTTTTTAGCACTTTTTACACATTTTTTTTAAATTTTAAATTTTTTATTTAATTAGAATTTTATTTTTAAAATATTATTTTAAATATCATTCACATCATTTATTCTTTAGATTACTATGTTTATGTGTGTGTGTATGTATATATATATATATATATATATATATACTAAATTATTTATCTTAATTTTGTGGTAACTTTTGGCTAAATTTAATGTTTCATATTATGCTTTTGGCTAGTCATTGTAGTTTAAATTGTTTTCTAACTTGCTTCATATTATCTACTCATATAATTAATTTTGTAATTTTTAAATATATATACATATATATATATATATATATATATATATATTTCTTAGATTCTTCATCTTTGAGATAATTCAAATTTTTAAAATTTTACTAAACTTTTAGTGATTTATAAAACAAGATTTAACAAACATCTATTATCAAAATTGCAGTGTCCATACAAATTATGTATTTTATTATATGGTCACGTAAGCCAAAAATATAGATCCCAATAGATTATATGTGTATTATTTGATAGATTTATATATATATATATATATATATATATATATATATGGTCATGTTGTTTTTTTAGTCTATTTTTTATCAATATTTAAATTACATATAACACATTAGTTTTATTTAACCATATATACATTTTGTGAAAACATGCATAACAAAATTTTGATACATGTATTTTTTATTATTTGTGGATTTTTTGCAATGTATAAAAGATACCTAAACACTATTTGCCAACCACCACAAGCCATCATAGTCTTTTGCTACTGCCACCACATGCAATCCACATCTTTTGTTAATGTTGAGTAAAAAGTATAATTTAAAATATATACACACACACACACATATATATATATATATATAATAAGTTTTTTAATTTTTAATTTTATAAATCTATTTTTTATTATTTTTTATTAAAACTAATATATATATATATATATATATATATATATATAAAATAATAAATATAACAACTTATTATTAGAATAAAAAAGTATGTTGAGTGGATGGCAAGTTGCAGTGGCATGAGCTATATATATATATATATATATATATATAACTTAATATATATTTTAATTATTTTAATATCACGTCATTTAATATTTAAGAAGAAATAATTAGAACATAAATGTAAGAAATAAACAAGAAGGAAGAACTTAAACAACTTTGGACATGATAAATTATATAAGTTCTACTTTAAAAGAATATTGCTTCTAGTCCAAGCTATTGTTCCAGTAATTACTATGTATAGTATTTATGTAAGCTTTTTACAATCAGTTTGAAATTATCTCTGAAGTTAGTAATGCTAATAAAGTTCATTTTTTTAAGCCTAAAAAATGTATTTTATTATGAATACAATCTAATAAAATTTCAAGCCATACAAAGATTATCTTAAGGTTATATAAAACAAAACAATTAAGCATAACTTCATCTATTATGTGCTAAGTTAAACATACATATTTTATTTTAATATTTTATATATTTATTTATTTTAATTATTTTCAGAAACACAAGACTTTATATACATTTTTTTAAAAATAAAATGAAGGAGTTTTGACATAAATATGTCTTTTTTTTTATTATTATAAATCAATATGTAGCAATATCACAAGATTATTTTATTTTATAATAATAATAGTAATAATAATAATAATACTGTTTACTTATTTTATAAAATAAAATTATTCATAATTGACTATCTCTACAACAAAAAATATTGAGGTACTTTCATCTTTAAACTTTATAGATCCATTACATGTTTTATGTTTTGACTTATGCATATACTTTTATTATGATTTTTTCTCTGTTAAAATTACTATTTTAAACTAATTGTATCTATAAAATATATTTTTAATTGTACTATTTGCTACTAATTAACTTTCAAGAAAATTTTATATAATCTTGGCTATTCTATGCAAATGTTTACAAGTCTATATTAATCATGCTTCAACAATCTCTATTCCATCTTGTATTAATTTAGGCATTTAAAGTTGATTTTAACACAAATAGAGAGAAGAAATAACATAAATGAATTATTATGATAAAAACTATGATAAATATTGTTATCTATTTTTTTCTTCTAATATATATATATATATAATCTTTGAAAATTAATGTTTGAATTCTTTTAAGTAAAAGTCTATCTATCTTTGTTCTGTTTTTTATTTTAAAAAGATTAAAATATGTTATTCACGTAAAAGTCTATTTTTATATATTTAAGTAAAAGTCCATCTATTTTCATTCTGTTTTTGATGTTGATGTAAGTAATATTAATAAGTATTTACATGTCATATATTATTTAGATGCCAATAATTTGTTTGTTTTGAACAATTTTGACAAGTTATAAAGCTAAGTTTCTCTAAAGACTTAGTATTCTTGATTAAGTCATGTTATTCTATTTGATCTAAAATTTATCATCTAAACCTCAAAATGAAGTAATCTTTGGCACTTTGGACTTATATTGATGCAAACAAAAAATCCATGTGATTGGGCACTACAATCTCTCACACATCCATCCATTTCTTCATTCATCCATACTATCTTGTTTCCATATTCTCACATTCCCCATGTTCCCTTCTTCATGACCAATCATAAGACTTCTTTGTCTCTTTGTGTTATACCATAGTTGTCTTATATAATAGATAGGTGACTTTTTTAATTTTTTTTTAAAATTTAATTTTTTTTTTGCATCTATATTAATCAAGTCAATATAAATTCTACACAACACTTTGGAATTTATTTATTTGAATTATTTTATTTTATAATTTTTTATTAAAAGGAGATGCAAGAATATTATAATATGATAATGAATAAAATAAATCATTCTAAACATGCTAATCACGATTTTAATATATATATATATATATATATATATTCAAAACATGATATATTTGCAATAAAAATAATAAAAATAAATAAATTTGTAGGCTAATACAAACTTTATTTTATTTTTGAGGAATAAATTTACTATTTCATTTTTAAAGAATTAAAAAAAAAAACTATTTTACTTTGTTATTAATAGATACGAACTGAAAATCAGGAATCTTTTATCTGATTAAAGATTATTATTGTATAACAGACCAGATACCAGTTTCAGCATGAAGTTTATTCTAAATGCTCATTGGAATTCACAGTTGACCAGGTTTTGACATAAATTACAAATAAAAAAAAATCAAAAAATCAATCAGTTCATGTATAATAGTCAAACTTTAGGGGCAGTACTTTTTTTCATATTTTTTTTAAAAATAAAATAAATTATCAAAAATATTGGCATACATCAATTGCATTACAGTTTAAAATACGAAAAAAATTAATGAGTACCCTTATGCAATTTCCCATCAAACAAGGGCAAATTTTCCCAAAAAGTTTTTAACTAACAATGTTATTGGCACAACACTATACCATCCTCTAATGTTTTAAGGTCATTGTGGATAGAGCCAATTGCATTTTAGCAAAAAAGAAATCCATTATAACCGATGGGTAATTCTTAAAAGTGGCCCAAATTCTATGTAGCTATTGCGTTGCCATTGGACTTTAATATTATAAACTAAACAGGTTAATTCTATCTACAAGAAACGAAGTGTGAACACGCGTTGGTATCGCTGTTGCGGATGAACGTAGAACGAAAAACTTCCCGTTACTTTTTCCTGTAATACGAAAACGTAGAGGCTACTTTATGTTCCACTGAATTTACCCGTTCGTCGCGTGGTGAATAGCAGAACACAAGCATTGGCTTGAGCTCAACTCAACATTCTCGACGAGGGAGGACCGAGTAACGGCTCTGTACCGACAACTGTGCATTGCAGCGCACGTGTTTTTACCGGGATGAGGATTTCTTGCGTCCGTTGGGGTGTGGAACTTTTTACCGGCCAACTTTATTTAGAAACCGGAAGTAGGTGCTGTAGTGGCGAGATCCTTTATTCACTTTAACGTGGTCCGGAAGATCGTGTTGTACGCTCTCATGTTTTACGTATCGTATAATTTGTATCGTAGTAACATATCATAATGAATACGCGTTATAATACGTGTAGTTTGCTCGTCTGCTTGTTGTCGCCGAGCTTCGGAATTCCGTGACGCGTTCGTACAATTCTGATCAGTCGAGTCGATTTTGACGATTGGTCTGGTGTTCGCTGGATGTTCCGGAAGACAGGACTCGGCCGCCACATTTTCGTGTGTGATTGAGCAGTGGAGCCTCCGAAATAAGCAAGTCGGTGGGTGCTGGTTCGAATTCATCGCTCATTTTCATCATATTAGCGAATTAGCGTACTGTAGCTCACAAGAGGCTGAATTTGGTGGAGTGGAATTGAAGTATTCGTTGATGTCTCATCGATGAGGCTTTTCGGCGTGTTGGCTGACAATCGTGGAACGCATGTGTGCTACTGCGGTCGGAGCCCCGTGCTTGGAAATGCCGCAGAAAGTGGACGCCCTCGCGAAGGTAGCCGTTTCACTGGTTCTAGAAATCATCACAACAGGAACTACTGGCGTTCGTGGGGAGGTCGACATGGAGTTGGAATGTGATTGTAGGCGAAACTTGCGAAGAAAATCCAACGGATCGTCCCATGCAGGAAAGTGCTGTGGAGCGACAGACTTCACTGAAAACAAGTAGAAACTGGATACTTTTACTGTACAGGTCACTCCGAAGTCTGACGAGGTGCTGACTTTTATCATATTTAGCAATTACCAGCAGTCCATTAGGTTGAGTTAAAAAGTATTATCTAACCATGGTTTGGATCCGAGATTTGAGTCTGAATTCGCTGGAGTGCACGAGCAGCAGAGATTAGAAGGTTTAAGCACTTTTGGGACTGATTTTGGAAAAGGCGTGTGAATGCGCAACGGAAGTTTTGATGTGTCGTAATTTTGAGTCAGACTTACTGGCGTCATCACACACTAGACTAGGGAGCGGAAGGAACAGTGAGGACTACAAGATGCAGTTAGATTTTCAAGATGCTTCTTTATCTCTGGTGGACGAGGGTAATTAATGTATGTGATGGAGGTTGGCAAGCAAGTTTGCTTATTGATTTGAGACTTAGCGCGTTTGCAGTTGCCCACACATTGAGCCAGGATATACCTCGGTCTGATTATTCGTCATGGACTTGTGTACTCATTTGTGGGAGTGAGTAACTACCGGCGCATTAGCTAGTGTTGCTTAACAATGCCGCTCGGTCGCATTGGCGGTGTATTCCGAACTAGTGTTTAGAAAATTGATTGCGAGTACATTCGGATTCTGGTTTAGGGTTCTAGAAAACCAAGTTTGGTTCCTCGGGCGGGTGCAACGATGATCCGAGATGGGCTGAACCCGTCGGTGATGAAAGAGTTTCAACGGTCGCTCAGCATTGAGACTCACCGGCTGCTGGTGCGTGAGACTCCCAAACACTCGCCGAGGCATGGGTTGATGCCCAGTCGGAATCCTCGTAAAGCAGCGTTCAATTGGGCTTTTGTCTTCCTTGCCGTTCTTCTCACGCTTTTGGCGGGTACCTTGTTCTTCCTCTCGTCCATCCCATCCGAGCAGCTCATTGCACCATCGGGCTCGCAGACTCCCGATGACACTGTCGTTCACCTCGAATTTTTGCTCCTCAAGCTGAGTGCCTTGCAGGAGAAGGCACTCAAAGCATCGATTGATGCGCAAAATGCTGGGAAGAAAAGGTTCTCTCTCTCCCTACCTACCGCGGTCGCGGATTTGAAGCTCGAGAGGTCACGAACCCATAGCATGCTCTCGGATCTCATCATTGGGCTGGATGGTATCGCAAAGAGTCTGAAGGAGCTGAAGCGAAGGCAGTCATCGGAAATGAATCCGACCGAGTTCAATGTCAACAACCTCTTGGCCAATGTTGCTGGCGGCGACAAAGGGATTGTGTCCATGGAGGACACGAAGCTGGTGAATCGTGTGAAAACACCATCGGTCAAGGGGAGTAACTCGGCGCCCTCAGAACCGTTGTACGATTTTTTCGCTCAGGATGAGCTTCGCAAATACCTCTCGGTACTACCAATCCCATCAAATTCTTTGGATTTTCTGTGGCACATTTCTTTCTTGCTTGTAGGGTTTAACAGGGAGATTGTGTATTTTCGGTGGCGGAACAGGTTAGGGAGAATCGAAGAGGAGCCAAGAATTTTATGGGCGTGAGTGCTACCTATGGCACAATTGGGCACGCCTGTGTGTCCAGCAAGGGCTTATTAGAGAAGTACATGGATTACGACATAGGGGAGGTTTGCAGGGACGATTGGGTGATTGCACAGCAGCTCATCCTCAGGGGATGCGAACCTCTTCCGCGGCGGCGATGCCGTGCGCAGGGTCCGAAGGTATACAAGCCACCTCCCCCTGCAAATGAGTCCTTGTGGGCCATTCCCGCTAATGAGAACATCCGGTGGGACAACTACTTCTGTAAGAATTTCTCATGTTTAGCAGATTACGTGCACCGCAAGAAATTCTTTAAGTGCAGTCCATGCTTCGACTTAGAAATCCTCGAGAAGCAGCGTTGGGTGGTGCCGAATACCACCGACGGGGAGTTTCTGATCACCGACGTGCTCGCGCTGAAGCCCGGGGAGGTCCGCATCGGGTTGGACTATTCCATGGGCACAGGCACCTTCGCAGCACGCATGAAGGAACACGATGTTACCATCGTGTCCACAACGCTCAACTTGGGCGCCCCTTTCAGCGAGACGATTGCGCTTCGTGGCCTGGTCCCGCTCTACATATCAATCAACCAGCGCCTCCCGTTCTTCGACAACACGCTGGACATTGTGCACACCACCATGTTTCTTGATGCCTGGGTTGACCACCAGGTTCTGGATTTCATCCTCTTCGACTTCGACCGTGTCCTGCGCAGGGGCGGCCTCCTTTGGCTGGACAGATTCTTCTGCCACCGGGAGGAGCTTGCCGAGTATATGTTCTACTTCAAGCGCCTCCGCTACAAGGCGCACATGTGGGTCACCGTGCCGAAAACGGACAAGGGCAAGGACGAAGTGTATTTCTCGGCCGTTTGGGAAAAACCGCACACCCCGTTCTAGTGCGAAGCAGTGCGAGAATAATCGGCTTGACTATTTTCCATCAGAATGGATTCCACTGATTGTGGTATCTCTGATCCGGATTGTGGTATCTCTAAACCAAACTTGCATTGTGGTATCTCTAATCCTGGTCACCAACAACCGCGAAACCATCATGCAGTTGGCTGTTGAACGATCAGTCCCCTGTCTTTGAGGACAGCCATGGCCCCCTTTGTGTCTGAGTGTACAATTTCGTTAGCGAGCTTTTGGCCAAGAGACCGTAAAGTTCAATGCACGTTTGTAGATTATCATAATATTTTCGATTTTGTGTATAGTTTTTAGAGTAGAATTTGCAAGCGTAAGCATGTGGGCGTGTACAGCAGATATAATTCAATCTGAATTCTGGTGGCGTGTTCGATATTTCAAGCGTGATGGAAGATTTAAACCTTAGTGATGCTACACACTACTCTGGCTTCATGTTGAACTATTTTACCACTCTCTCTATAGCTTGACGAACCTGTACATTCATTTTTAGCATAATTTTGTAATACATCACGCCTCAAGAAGGCCTCAATTTCTTATCACGGCACTCGCAAACGTGAAGTACGCGCCACTCCATTAACATAGCTGCACAGTAGCTGCCACGAATATCTATGAAAGAAGAATCTACGTCACAAACTCAAACAATCAGGATGGGCAATGAAAGAACGCGTCCAGTGGAGTCGAATAAGCGATGCTCGAGTGAAGAGCGTCATTTGCGTACGAAACCATGTAATGGATTTCTAAAACTTTTATCCTCAGGTTGTTAAAACGTCTCCCACCCATTAACTCGCAGAATTAAAGACCGCTCCATCTATCTACATACATCTTGATACAGATTCTAATTCATCCACTCACCCCATCTTCTGATGAAGCCAATGAATTGTGCAACCTAGTATCGGAGGAAGACTTGGAAATGTTGACCTTCCAGAACCGAGATCTCGTCGTCTCTATAGAAATTCGTGAAGGTCGCGTAGCCACGAGCGAATCTGAAGCTGCCAGTGCCGCCCGTCACGGCAACGTCGCTAAAGTCGGAGGAAGGAAAGTTGAGTGTGGTCCCCTGAAAGCTCAGAGTGCCGTCGAATGAGCTCGTGTTGAAGCTGGCGGTGAAAAGCCACGTGAAAGCCAAAGGGCCGTCGCCCACCTTGTCTACCACTCGGATGCCGTGAGCTCTGCCAAGGACGGGGGAATTCTTGTAGTGTGTCCCGGTGATGGCGTGGTTGAACGTGATGATGCGACTCTTGAAGCTTCGTGGCCTTGGTTCGGAACCTTTCATAGCCAGTTGAACAACTTCGGTGGGGTTGGGGAATGGGGTGAACAATCCGGGATTGTGTACGTAAAATTCTATGCTACTCGGGCCATCGCGCGAAGCTTCAACCGAGGGAGGCATTCGCATGGACAAGCTCAAGGCGACGAACACCCACATCACAAATCTTGTTCTCGCCATAACCATCACCAGAACCACCCTTTCTTCAACAAGGTTTTAACAGCGTCGGGAACTCTACACAATCTGGACTGTTTCTATTCCAATCTTGCAGCTCAAGTAATGACTAATTTGCACACGTCGATCAATTTGGAAGACTTATTGTCAATGGGCGACCCATCTACGTCGCCATTCAACAGCACCTTCCTCTACTTCAAGCTCAATCGCAGCAGAACAGCGGAAGCTAAAGCCAATATAGTGAGGGAAAGTGAGAAACCCGGCGACGTTTTTGAATACCGACCAACCAACAATGACTAGGGTCCACAACCTAGGAGCGTTTCAAATGTGCAAGAGAAATGCGTAAAACGGCAGCGACTGCCTGAAAAGTGTGATGCTTGGCATAGGTATCACCATGAAAGGATTGCAAGGGGGATGTTTTCAAGCCGAGAGCTCGCTCACAAGCACGTTTGTAGTCGTCCAGGATTAGAGGACGACCCTAGTGCGGACACTGGGATTGCCCCCAGTGCAAATTATAGAAACGGATGTAGACGTTTGTACTTAGCATGGTGACGGCAACTGGTGCTGGTGGAGACCGTTTACCTGCCGACTCTACCCGGTCACTGTCATCTCTCGACAAAAGTGCGCATGAAACACATTGAAAACCAAAAGTAATTGAACTCTCAGATTGTACACAAAAAAAGAAAAAAAAAAAAAAAAGAGCCCAAAATGAAACTTGCAGTATGCCTCAGGTGACATTGAGGTAAAATCTCTACAGCTCTAGTGCGAGTATGGCCGGCACGCTTCCAGAATCTTACGCAAATCGGTAACTGAGGTCGTTCAGTATGTCATGCTTGCGGTCTTGTGAGGTCAACTTAGTTCTTCTTTCATTGACTTACACAAGTTTTAAAGCCTTTTTGGCTTTACCTGGAATGGGGGGGGGGGGGGGAGATCGCCGTGGTTTAGAACCTGTGCATGCAAAGCCAATGATCTGGCGCTGGGTTGATCGAGGGGACGGTAGTGCCTCCTAACAGGTTTGCAATGTTTTCAGTACGATATCACTGTAAACTCCGGAATTTCAGTCAAATCACATCAGAGCCCAGTCAAAACTAGTGTACAGGCTTCAACCCAACCGCATCAACCAATGTAGTTGACATCTTTCGCTACCAAAACCCACAGCAGTGACTCCGGAAGAGCTTACAGATCCACCCTCCCCCACGAGTTTGTTCATCAACACTGCCGTTCTCTAGGTTGGTGACGATTCGATCAGTTGTTGATTACGCATGAATCACAATTTAATCAATGGTTTGTCAATCATTTGAGTCATGGGTTCCTGTGCAGAGAGCTCAAGTTTTAGGGCTTTGTTTTGTTTTTCTGTACCATTCTAGGGTTATTTCAGTAGCTGTCTAGTTGATGGCATAAAGTATGCTTAATCACCGAGGGTCCCATCTCCGATCAGAACTTTGTCTGATTTGAACGAAGACTGCCTGCTTTGAAGTTAATCGAAGCTTGCACAGATGGTGGATAGGGGGCCTTGGCTGCAACGGCTTTCACCCAACACCTCTTATCCACTTCGACATGTGAATAATACAATGGGACCACGCATTGAAATTTGGGGGAATTTGAGCAACCTCAGGTTGGCATCATGCATATCGAATGAATTATTGGCTGAGTACAGAACTACGGTGCTGTAAAGTGAATTCCTCAGCCACTTTCATTAACTGGAGAACATAATCAGTGCCACTATTCGAATCATTTCAGGGACGGCATATCCTATCAACTGTGCTGCTAGTCTCGTTTGATGTTCCTGAGGTTAGCTCTGGTTCTTCTAGATTTGCAGAGCGTTGAAAGCACGAGGTGAACAAATAAAATTAAAAAATTAAAAAAAATTATAACCTGACTTGTGATTAGTAGACTGGTTATTGATCAAGTTGACATTGGCGGGCATTTTCTCTATTCATATATATATATATATATATATAAATAAAACACAAACACACACACACACACACACACAAACACAAACAGTATTCAGAATCACTCGTGACGAATGGATAAATCATGAATGTGAAATGGTGGACTTTCAAACCTTTACTCCTGCTTCTCGTTAGAACAGGGCAGGATTCGATGATGAGCATGGCAACAACGGAGCAAGTACTTTTTTTCCATTGCCCAAGTCAAAAACTGATGTAAAGAGATGGTTGGAATTGCTTTGCCAATAAAAGAAATGCTCCAATTACAGCTCAAAAATTCTCCGTAAATCTATTCTAAATGCTAAAACTATTACAAGAGTCGACAAATATTGCCTAGGGATAATTCTGTTGAATATACAGGGTATTTCTCCTCATAATTGTAGCACAGGCTTAGTTATCGACAAGGATGTTGATTGAGGGAATAATCCCAAAGAACTGGCTCTTCAATACACAATCCTGGTCAATATAAACGTCGCAGCATCTTTTCCTTTTACTTGGGGCTCCTTTGCAAGGTCAACATCGTTTGGTTTTGTCCGTGGGTGTCCATGTGCCTCAGGATTATTGCTAGAAGAACCATGCAAAAAGACCACTCATTGATGAATAGTTTGGATCGGTGGGCTACTTACATGTTTCACAAACCCAATATTGCTCACTCATCGAATTCTCAGAATAAAATGTTGAGGAATACGACATGGGGTTTGTGCAGCAATGAATCGCTCACCATCCGAGTGAATCTTCGTGGCCCCACCTGCCAGCGTTACGTTGGAGAGCGCGCTACGCTTGTTTTGACTTCATGTGTGGCTGCATGGCTTTAGCGTTATTATGGGATAATCAGATTGCAGTTATGTTAATGTTGGCAGCTGCCAATGTTAGCGTTTCATTCGTAGTTTCCTTTTCCGTTCATCATCCATGCAATCACATGCGCTGCTCCCCAATCTTGTACTGTTTCCTTGTTGAATGAACTATTAGTTCCCTCCAGTCTCAAAGCAATAGCTTCCTACAGATATATATATATATATATATATTCATGTGTGTGTGCGTGCGTGTGTGTGCGCGCGCTCACGTTGTGTCTTGCTGTTATTTTATATTTTGTCTTGTGCGTGTGTGGAGCGTGCACTCCTTCGTGAGGTCGAGGACTTGAAATGCGGTCCCAAAACATTCAGAACAGTCACATGATTCATATACTGTTTCGCTTCTATAGTCGTGGTGCACCAGATCCACCATAATATTACACAAAATTTTATGGTACAAAGAATACGTACTCTTGCTTCGAGGACCACGCCAATACATGGCTTCAATTACAAGCTGTCTGTTTCAAACTTTCTGTGCCACCTGAACTATTTCTCATTGACAACATGGGGCTGGAGCTGCCAATCATGGGATGTTGTTTTCTTGGGCTTCCCATTGTGGAGAGCAGGGCATCTTCGTGGTCATATGCAGACCACAGACCATATCTCATTTCTGTTCTGCGTACAATACTCAAAGGAAGTGCAAGATCTGAGTAAAATTAGCTTTCAGTGACTCTCAGAATGTTATGCCCCTGCCAAATTCTAGCAACCAGCACGGAAGAGTTTCCAACATGCCAAATTAGAGGTGGGTATCTCAGGATTTGGTTGTGCGTCTCGGATGATTGATGGCAACAACACTTCATGGACCTGAGTGATTCACTTTGAGGCAAGGTGGGGTTGACGATTCGTGAAGATAGTAGTTCTCATTTGGCACAAAGAACAACGTGGTGAGACTGAATGTTGTGCTGAGGTAGAACTTCGAAGCGTGATAGCAATGTTGAGGAAACCTTTGTTATGCTTTGCACTGGAGGATTTCTGCAACCTGAAGAAAGCGAATTCCCTACTGTAACATCCTGAACCTGGTTTTTTTAATTACATTTGTATTGTGTTGTTCAACATGATTTTAGAAAGGAGGAATTCATAGACGTTTGCAGCATAACTCCAGAGTGGGTTGATTCTCATAGCTGGGTTCTTTCTTTGTCACCATGTTTTGATAATTACCAGGAAGACAAACTTTCTACATCACTAGATCAACATTATTTGCACTAGTTTACATATTCCATGTCTCATATAAATAATTCTTATCCATGTGTTTTCTTTGCTCTATCACTAAGTTAATGTTTTTCCAATGAAACTCAAATACTTTGCAGATTGTCATGTCAATCTTTGTTGGTCTCTCTTCATTGATTGAGACTACAATTGCAATTGGTTAGATCTTTGGTAGAGATAAAATATTGCATGAACTAAGATGCACAAGAATTGAGGCTTGCTGTTGGGATGTAGAAACCATGTCAATATAAGTTGCTGTGATGGCTACTAGAAAAATCTTAAGTCAGTGAGTTTGGAAGTCTTTTGGGAAGTCACAAGATTTTGATAAATACCTAGCATATGAAATCTAATAACTTGATACAAGAGACATCCACCAAAGAAGCTACTTCATCCCACTAATAAGTCCCACACAACTTTCATTTGAATTGGATAACCAAGACTTATACCAACAACTATTGGAGACACATAATATAGAGAATTTTTTACCAACTTCATAATACATGCACTTCATCGATAAGCATCAAAGTTCTACATTCTCCTCAAATCAAGTGGTTATGGCATAAGATTCTTTTCTTGATTCTACTTGCTTCATCTTTGCTTGTCATACAAATTGCTTTGAAAAGTCTATGCCTTTTTTATATCAATATCCTAATCAAAGCTCAAATATTTTATTAATTCGATAGGAGGAACCAACCTTTTGATAGAAGCACAATTCTTCACTCAGTAACACATTATACTATCACTTACATAAGATCAACAAAACCTCTTATCCTTTCAATAAATACCTAGGGACGGTTCTTTAATTGAGGAAGTGGATTCCACTAAGTAATTTCTATATCTAGCGCAAAAACTTTTGTATCATACCAAACACTCTTGACCTACTACTCTTTAATAACTAAGATGTGAGGCATGAGAAGCATAATATCTTTGGATTATAAGACATTATTCTATCTTTCAAAGACAAGCAAGTATATTTTTATATAACAACTTTGCAATGCACTAAGGAAGGCTTCTTAGAGTTGTGCTTAACACTAGTTAAAAATAAATATATTAATCCATAGTTATTATGTTCTTACAAAAATATTAAAATACATATCCAATCAAATCCATACTAGAGACCTTTTGTTAAAGTAGATCCCTTATTTTTTTTATATTATTCATTCTTCTTAAACTTAAAAAACTTATAGTATCAAAGTTATTCACAAATATGACACATCTATATACATCATTTTATTTGATTAGTAAGGAATTTGTAACAAACATAATATCTATGGTATTAAAAATTATCTAGTTACGAATCTAAATGACCTTGACATTTCCAATACAAGAAACAAAACTAAGTATCATCTTTAAGAATCTACTTTCAATACTCTAAGAATAGTTAGTTTCTATGTCTTTATAACAATTAATACACTTCTTACTCAAAGACTATATATTACATATACTTTGACATATTATAATGATAGTTGATAATCTAGTACCTTCAAAAACTACTCTAATTGTCACCTACATGTCATGAGTTACACAAGCTATAGCTACTAATATGGAGTATGCTTCCAACGTTTGTGCCAACCTTAATAAACTACCTATACTTTCCTTTGAGAAATTCTCCTTGCAATATGACTATCTTAAATTCATTTATAACTTTATCATTCTTGTCAATGTATATCATGACATAGATACATATTATGTCTTACAAT